ACCATAGTATACAACAGAAAGTAAAGACGGTATCTATCGGAGAAACTTCGATTAAAACTCAAAACCAGTTTGGGAAATAAGACTTCTTAATTAATGGACCCATCGGTTCAGTTACAAGGTAAGCTTCATGAACTTCGTAAAAGCCAATACACCAGTACATAAAGATTTATTGCCTGGTTTAAAGCTAGCTTCAGAAGCTTTAATATAACTTCAAATATTTAAATCTACCCTGGTTTCCCAGAACCACAGATAAGAAACCTGTACTAATCATTCGCTTAGTAAAAAATCAAATTATCAACTTTTTGATTTTTTGTTATTAATTCCCACAAAAAGCTCTCATTTCACGAAATTTGGTGAAAACTTACCTTTTTATAATCTAAACACGCTGTAATTTGTTTGATAGAAAATATTTATTTTTACTCTTAATTTCCTCTTGTCTCTGTTTATTATAGCTTTTAACTGTTATATTTGTATATCTAAAGATTTGTATTTCCTAGAAAAAAAAAATGTTGCCATACGATAAGTAGCAACCTATAAATAATGAGAATTTTCTTTACATACAAAGTTGATTTTCTAAGAATACACTTAATACTAATAGTTCCAATGAATAAAAGACCAAATATTTCAATACGTTTATATATTATTGACATACAATTTCTTAACTAAGTACTTACGTTACACAATCATTGGATATGAATATTTAATTCCACATAAAAACGTACAAGTTCAGTTAGAAACATATATGTACAATGCCAGTCCTCAATACAATTATTTACATTTTTAATGGTACGTATACAAGACACATAATTTTATAGTACGTTTAAGTATAATTATTTACAACATTTATATTGAAATATTAGGTACATATTTAATTATTTAAAGAACCTTTTCGATACTTGTGTGTACGATCTGTAAACAAAATTTTCTGCACTAACACTTAATGTTAGGTGGAGTAAAGTAATTTTACTGTACATCTTTCACATGCTGTAGCCATAAGGACATCTCTTACCAACAAGACGACATTATGTATTATTTTATTTATTTGGAATAACAAACAGGGTTCATCAATTTACTTGTATTTATAAAGGTTTGCGTCAATTATAATCTTAATTATTGCAATAAATGCTATGCCAAATGTTGAAGTAATAATTATGTATATGACTCTTTGTCACCGACTGACTGCGGTTACTATTCCCACACGAACAAAGAAATTTGGTGACTCATTTCTTTGTGCCACTATCCGCAAATGGAATGCTTTGCCAGCTCACCTTTACCCTTATCACGAACCAATAACGAATTCGTATCGTTTGCGAGTCCGAATTGTCATTGCCAAATGTGTACTAATTTTTAGTTCTCGTTATATTACGTACTTTGTGTCGCTGCTGTTCAAGTTTCCATACAAAATTTGACATTGACATTTCGGATTCGCAAACGATTCGAATTCGATATCGGTTCGTGCTAGGGGTACTGTTCCCTTCTTCGTATAGGCGGAGTCATCTGTCGGACCTATTTATAGAAAAAAATAATAGTGAGCACGGACCACACATCTGAAGTAAAACTTCTTGTCTCAAATAACCTAACATTAGGCGGTGCATACGGCATAGGGGAATGGAGCAGCGCACGCATCAATCATATATATATATCTGTATCGCCGCGTGTGACGTTCGTAACGCTTGTAGCGTTTCAGCCTTCGCCGAGTTACCCTCCAACTTTCATGCTTGTCGGAAAGAACTGCGCACGCATCCCACACACACACATACACATATTACACACACATATATATAGATGATATATATAAATATATAGTCGTTTGACGCTCTTGACGCATTTTCGTTTCATGTTTACCATATAATTTATCCATTTACCCCATTCGAAAAGAAGTATCACTTATAAAACCTTAGATTATAATAAAATACTCTGTAATATTGTCTTATAATCAGTGTTGTCCTTGTGACTGCCATGCTTAGTTCCATAACGCGAAGAAAATACTTTAAAAACTAAAATTTCATAAGTACTTAGAGTATTGTAAATTCGCCATGTTGTGCTACGGCTGTAGAAGACTACCTCGTAGCGTGTAACTCAAACGTAGAATCGAATCGCTCGTAGTTCGTAGCACAAACAATAGTTCTAGGTTCAATTAGTCAGTGATTACGATATAACATTGAAATTGAGAAATAAAATTCGATATTCATAGTTATGATATCTAAATGATTTCTTTATGATATCTAAAAACATTATACCTAATATACATACAACGATAGTGAGATCCTCTATAGTCACGAAGTTTGAAGAGCACTCAAAACCTAAACAAAGTCAGATGAAGGACATCTTTAATTCGAAACTCTCTTGATTCAAATTAAAGTCTTGATCCTGTTTATCATATTGTTCCATCTTTGTTGATTGTTTAAAGTCAAAGGCAGTTGTCCCCCCACCGGCGAGGAAGCGACTATTGGCTATTTTATCGCAAAAGAAACGCACAATATATATATATTTTTTGTAAACGAATAAGATGCATATATTAATAGTTGATCTCCGACTGTTTACACCACAGCATACAGGAAGAGGTTAGAAGAGTGATCATATACCGTTTATATGGGATCCGATGTCGCTGGATCGACCCCATTATCAAACGATGCCACATCAAACAATCGAATCAGTCAGCGCTCACACGCGAGAGCAATGACATAATCAGAACCAAGTTTTGGTCAAGTTATGAGCATTTGCTCACACATAACTGCCTGCCCCGCCCTCAAGACCCTTCTAACTTTTTTCTGTATTCTGAGGTTTACACTGCTGGCGAGCGACAAGAAGTTCAGCGACGCTCGCTTGTCTCAAAACTCGCGCGCCTGCATTTTGTTCAAGACTCTGCAAGTGAGTGGTGCGACTAATCGCCCTTCGTTTTTTGAGTGTGTATGCTGTTCGTCGCAGATGACCTTTACAGTGTCACCGGGTTTGGGGATGGCGAGATCCTAAGGGGACCTTAAGCCGAGAATTGGCAAGTGCCTCTAGAGGTATTCCAGGCGGATGACATCTCCTCACAGGGGGACTCTCCTCTCCGTCTGGAACCTCTAGACCATTCGAACCTGAGGGCTCAGCTCAACTAGAGGGCGTGTCTGAGACTCGGACCTCGGCTCTAGTTAGCCGTTATCACGGGGGGCTGAACATCGTACTCGCATACTCGCTTGTAGTCCAGCGAGAAACTATCGAAACTACACAATTTATTCCCGCCGCTTTTACTATGTATATAATTGTGAAGAGATTGTGCAGAAGCCTAACGAAACGCGTCGATTCTGCCATGATTATGTAAACTTAAAACTTAATTTAACATCAGTCTTTCTTTTTCATTCTGTATAGAGACTGACAAGGATACATTGTTGTCAAATTTAAGTTTAGGTTTAGAGAATCATGTCAGAATCGACGCTATTGACTGAATTAATGTAAATTTAAATAATTCACGTGTGTGGCAATGCCTATGATAGTATTCTATTATATTTTATTTAATTTAACTGTTTTAAATTTTTATGATTATTTGTATTGTATATACCAGGGTACCACGCCTGAAATAAATACATTATTATTATTATTAAATTTGATTTTAGATCTGTGGTGCAAGTTGGACTTTATAAAAATACTAATATACACTTTCAGACACATCTATAGGCCCACCTTGCATTTTAAGTTTTGATTTGACGGTCCCATGCTAAAAATAAATTACATTGAGCAAAAAGTTTTAACAAAAAATACAAAATGTTTCTTTTTACAACAACGCAGTTTTGGAGCTGATTAATTTATCATCTATTTTGTGTGTTTTAAAAATATATTGTTATAGCTCAACCTTTTTTTTTATAAACCTCCCCGATCTACCTTTCATCCTCCAGCCCCTCTAGCATGACCACCGATACGGGATATGATAAAGCGATATATCGGCATTAACTGTCAGACTACTGTCAAACTCCACCATTTCGGTGATCTACTAGAGGGGCTGGAGCCTGGATTATTACTAAACCTAACATATATATTTGTTATAGACCACTAAAACTTAAGTGGGCCGATCGATGTGTCCGGGAGTGTAATTATTATGCGGCAATTAACTTAAGGCATTAACAAGTTTTTAATCATATTTTTCAATCTCTATACATATGATAACAAAGTAAGTCCTTTTTTAATATAGAAAAACAACATATTAGTTATATAGATATTAATTTTGTTAAAGTACGCCGTAGATGTGATACATAAATCGTGTTTTAGGTAACATAGGAAAAAATACAGTTAAGTAGGTAGAATGAACACAATACTAACAAAGAACCAAACATATGTACATTCTCGAAGGCTGCAAAGTTAAATTTTCATTGCGGTCGGTCATATATGCATTTAATAAAACTAGTTTTTACGGGTTAATGCACGAAACTTTATTTATTTATTGACGTTTCGCAGCCTTTTCAGGTCTGCATCGTCAGTATAATGACGATGCAGACCTGAAAAGGCTGCGAAACGTCAATAAATAAATAAAGTTTCGTGCGTCATTATTCTGACGATGCAGACCTGAAAAGGCTGCGAAACGTCAATAAATAAATAAAGTTTCGTGCATTAACCCGTAAAAACTAGTTTTATTTAATGAGTGATGTGCGTGAAAACCTAAGAAACAAATACATATATGCATTTGTCGAGCTATATTTAAAAAAAAAACAGTAAAAACATACAAAGATAAATTGGCAAGTTGTATTTTGACCTTTGATCACATATGTATGTATAGATAAATAATGGTCGATATTTAAAACTTTACAAAGACCTGGGGGCCATTCGCCTAACGGGATTGCTTTGGAAAACGCTATCGCTTACGATTTCATTTTGTTATTTCTGACCGCCGAAGGTTTTCAAATGCCTTACGCTTATTTTCTTTAATATTGTTATTACAAATGTAATAGAAAAAAACAGAGCGCGAGGCATTTGAAAACCTCAGTTGGGTAGAGATAATAAAATGAAATCGTAAGGCAAAGCAATCCCGTTAGGCGAATGCCCCCCTGGAATAGTTTAATCTTATGTTAATAACGCTAATATAGTTTACAAGAATATTTCCTTCAGCAGGCTCAATATAGGGTATTTTACCCTATGTATACAGTACCTATAATAAGAAAATTACTTTTATTTTACTAACTAATTAAATTAGTTGTATTTACAAAGCTCTTTAGATTATAATATCTAACTACCATTAAATTTACAATACAGTTCTATACTTAAATTAAGTATATACTTTAACGGTTGGTCTTTTAAGAAACATCCGTGTATTAAAGGTGCCTTTATATGTTAGGGTTAATTTTTTTTCAATAAAATCCATGTTATTATCAACTTTTATTGTCAATAACAAAGTAAAGAATTTCACTTTAAACAAGGCATTAGTGAGTAAATAATCGACTGTAGGTACAAGGAATAATGTTCCACAGAGCAAAAATTGTCTTTAATGCTGCAAAAAGAGACAAAGTGATGTTGAAATGCAGAAAGACTGCTGACGATAGCAGCTAAATGAAATGAACGCAACGAAACGCAAATTTAATTTAAGGCACCGTTCAGACAAACGACGAACGCGCTATAGAATATTGATTTGTATAAAGCTGCTTTTGCGTAATTTTGCTGACATCTTCCTAAGATAAATCATTAAATAATTTCTAATAACAATAGCCTATGATGACTTAAGTTTCAGGTTTTCCCATAGGTAAATTGTCGCCTTTAGATAAAATAACACTTTCTGAGAGCACAAGTATTTTTACATAATAGCTTTAGCGTAGCGCAAATTCGATTTAGTGCGTAAAATAATTCGTATTTTCCTTATAGTTAATTAAAATTCAATTTTACTATTATGGTTGGAGTTCGTAGATTAAAACAAAAAAAGATACGGTACGCTCATACTAGCATCAAATAAAATATGATCTGACTCAACAACATAAGCAACTAGTGCGAACGGCTGAGCTGTTTTGTTGTCCTTTAACGTCCGTTTTTGTAACATTCACGGCAAACCATGACTTTTGAAAAACAAATGATTTTACAGTTTTACGAACGAGAAGTGTTGCCGAGTGTTTGAACTATTTGTGTTATTTATAAAATCATTGAAGGCATTATTTTATCTTTATAACATAATATACGCAATATTGTTATATTGAGTGTACATGCAGCGTGTTTGAATGCTGCGCGAGTGCCGTATCTTCCCTTTTTGTTTTAATCTACATAAGTTAGAGTTACATCGGAGTTTACTAACTAATTTAAACACGATGACACAAAATGCACATTTTATCAAGATATCATTCGAGAATTTCAATATTCGAATAGTAACGGAACAGTCTTCTGATTGGTTGGAGTTTGGACCAATCGCTTCAAGCGTACAGGTCTTGCGGGGTGCGCGGTGCGCGCGGGGCGCGGGTTTCGCGTCATATCCACGTGCGCTCGACGGAGTGCGCGTCATTCGAACCGCAGTCGTTGTGCGACCCGGACGCGCCTCTCCGCTGTCAGGCGCTACTCACCAGCGTATTATTGTAAGTGCTGTGCATCGACATACGCATCGTGCCTGCGAAAGATTGATCCTATCAACTTTCGATTCTTATGTAGCAATAAACTATCAGCATGCCCCCGGTCTAAACGGTAATCGCAATTTGCATAGTGCACGTTAATAAGCAGGCGGACTAGGATCGGATGGTGTTAACATTCACAAACGGTTATCACTACCGAAAGATGACCAGCCTAACTACGAGCTTCGGCGAAAGCCAATCCAGTGGATTAATGTTACCATACGAAAAATATTGTCATTACCGATTCTAAGTTTCTCCCTTTATCTGCTATTTGCGAATTTTGCTTGCGTGCAGCAAGTGAGGGGAGCCAGGTGGATTTTTGGAGAATTTTGTAGTTTTTGTGGTCACCTTGAATAAACCTACGGAGAAGAATTTTATTCTTTATAAAATTTAAAATATCCTTTACAATGAAATAGGTTTATATGCTCAAATATTAAGCACGGAAAAGCTCAGTGACCCTAAATACTAAATTATCTCACAGTAACGATATTGGACTCATTTATGAAAGTGGTAACATTTTAATAGTTAATAATTGTTAATATCTCAATACTTGAAGATGTGCAGTGCAGACAAAGACGCGAAGAAATATTTCATAGCAAGCAAGCAGAAGCTAGCCAGCTACCTAAATATCGTTCAGCTTATTTAACATATCTAGTAATGCTACAGTCCAAACTAGACCTACTTTACCAAATTCTGATTGATATACTTAGAAATTCTTGGATTTCAATTTCGGTTAAAGTGGGAGATTTATACAAGGGGTTTCTGGTATGAATTGGATCCTACTTACTCGTACCATTCTTCCTGCTGGGTGAGAGGGACCGCAGGGAGCGGTCCAGTCGGTCGGGGCCAAACGGGCGATGCCTGCTCAACCCGTTACCACCGAAAGCGCCACAGCACCAGAAGAACTGTCTAAATCCGCGCCGGAATCTGGTGTAGTATTTTAAAGAACATATTAATTATCATCACCAGCCTATTAATGTCCCTACTGCTGGGGCACAGGCCTTGCCTATGGATGGATGACCCACCACGAGGCCGCACTGGACCGTCGTGGTGGGCCATGGCCAAATCTCCATATTCCATATATGTGAAATGGTATTCGCGCTCCGGTATTGTGACTGATCTAGGTCCTAAACGACTTTTCGGCCCATTATGAAACTTGGCAAGAATAACCTTTATACTACTACGTATTGTCAGTAAAAAAACCGGTGAAGATAAATGCTTGTCTGATGGACACGCGGATACTCCTACCTGTCGTATCGCGAATGTTTTTTTACGTATTTATGTGACTACATGCTATCTAGCACTCATAGTATAGTCTATGCTTGTTGGGGGCTAAATAGAACGTCAAGACTGTCAGAACAATTCTGACAGCCTTGGTCTGGGCTATTACTTGTGTTCCTTCCAGCATATCCCCCCTCCCCCCCTCGGGGGTAATTTTTATACCCGTAGTGTCACCGTGGGACAACGAGAAAAAAAAAAATAACCCGTTGACCCACCAGGGCGACATCTCAGTTTAGTTTAGGACTTAATAAATTGGTAAGAGTAATCCTTTATGTTTTAAGGAATACCTAAGCTTTGATAAAGGTAAGGTAAATTTTCTCTCGGATCAAAATTCACCTATAATAAAATACGCAAATCTGCTGTATTATATTGCTAAAGTATAGTTAGGTTGTTATATCTCCACATCCACAAGATACGGAAATGAGGTTCAGGCTACCAAAGATAGGGTGGTGGGAATGGCACGACGATGAAATTTCTTTTTTATAGAAAGGGTGGAAAATTAGCATAATATGATCCTCCTAACGGTAAGTGGCCACCATAGCCTAGAGACGCTTACGACCCAAAATAACAACTAATAGATATCGACATAGATAGAATAAAGACAGCTTCCAAAACAGAAAATAAACATGCGGTCTTTGTTAAATAAAAAATAAATATTCTTAGCCACGGCCACACTATGTCAGTTAACTTTTTATTCTCACTTTTCACTCTTCGGATAAAGATGACGCTGTCACTATCTTTGCGTATCTAAGACAAATTAAGACAACGCGTAACTAAATAATGAGTTAGATTTAATTTTCGTCGTTGAGTGCAGCCGTTATTGGAATTTTATCGATATGAATCTATCGCGTAAACCACCCCTTTAACGAAATTTATCAACCCAATTGAATCACATGTATGCTGACATGACTAAATTTTCAGAGCATCAATGCTGTACGCCTCGCCTATTATACTTTATGTACGTTTGAAAATGACAGTGACAGCCGCACTCAAATCTCTGACGTTTTTAAGTTTTATTAAAGTTGACACGGGCTTTTTTTATGCGATAGCAAGAAGGGACGTAATAGAACATAACTTGTAGGGAACAACTATGGGCCAAGTATAATACAAGCCTTAAATCATGGTAACAGTGAATACATTATTATTAATAATGCTAAAGTTAATGATTTTATAGTTTTTAACAGCCTATTTAGTCATTAGAGAATTGAGAAAAAGTTAGTATTTAAAAAATATGTAAATACTTACATATTTTTCCTCGTCATAAATCATGTTTAATGGAAATATTTAAGTGTTGTAATATTAGCAGAATAGCATGATTTCGTGTCGTCTAAATCGGTTAGTCGATTTGTTTATCCGGAAAGGCGTCGAGCTACTGATTGATTAACATTTTTGGATGATGGATCGTGTCGCTGCGCAAAAAATGTACGCATTACTCCTTGTCTTAGGATTATGAAAAAAGTTTGCGCGCCAAACGCTCGTTTTTAGGCATTTAAATTAATTACAAGCATTCGACCGTGGTATCAAGTTCAGAACTCATAATTTATTCAACCAAGGGCACTTCGAGCGGCTTTGATTTGATGAAAGCCCACGCATTTCATTTTGTCTTCAGCGGTATTAATTTCGCTTATCCGAATTTCAAACATTTCAAAGAGAATGCATTCCATGTATTACAGCAAAAATTAAGGTTTATTATAATTTATTAAATAAAACTTTTCTCTGAATAATTTATTTTATTAAGTAAGTTGATCCTATTAAGGAGAATTAGTCATCATGAAACCAATAACTTTTACAAGAATCCTGGCAATACGGTTTTGAATTAGAAAAAAGCGGATTTTGAATTTGTCGCCGAAACGATTTGATTAGGAAATGATTTAAACATCTACCTGTATCTATGTGCTGTTTGAAGACCTAGCTAGATATTTTTGTGAATTTGAAAAACTTGTTTGTAGAAAAATATATATATTTAATTAAAAATATATAAAATAAATAACACTCATGATTGGACCACATAATAATGAGAATAAAATGCAATTTCAAGACAGTTGTCAAACATACAAATTGAATAAAATCGAAAGTCAGTCTTGCATGTTAAAGAATCGACGTGCTGGTCCGAGTGAAAAATGTCTAGAATATTTTTTTAGATAAATTACAAAGCAAGACGGTTGAAATGTACCCAACGACCAAAAATAACCAGACGTATGTCATCGGAAAGCTCTGTTCACGACTATTATTTTGTTACTAAGGGGGATAGTCCCAATTCGCAATGGAAAAAGACTTACAGCTAAATGAAAAAACACACCAGTTCTTTACAACCATTTTCCCACAGCGAATTAAGACTCTATAATCAAATCGACGCTTAAACGCCTGATAAGTAACTTTACAGAAACGAGAATCAAAGTATTTTTTTTCACTAAAAAATCATAACTCATTGTAGTAGTTCATAAAATAATACTTTCTAAATATCCTCCTATTAAAAAGTTACATAGTGCCTTTAAGAATTAAATGTCGCTTAAGCGAAAATCACTCGGCCCGCCATACAATTTTTTGTCAAGCAAACATCAAATCATACGCCAATTTGTAGGGCGTAAGCGCCATTTGATAAAAAAACACTAAATTTTGTGCCGCTTCAGCGCTGTGAGCGATAAAATTCTTCTTAAAATTGAATTGCCTAAGTGCCAATAAAGTACTCAAATTTAGAGAAAACATAAACAGACCGACGCAGAAAAAATATTTGGTTAAAATGATATTCCTTTGCTTGAACTTGGCTTGACACTGTCGACATGATATTTATGAGAAGCGCTGTCTAACAACGTATAACTAATCGTTATTGGTCGGTGGGTACATGCCCCATATATTTCTGCCCATTCTTCTTCACAAGTCCCAAATAACAGCCCCCTTTTTAGGTCAGTTAAAAAGGTTTCCTTACTTGGAATTCATCCAGCAGTATATGATGGGGTTGTACATGGAGTTGCTCATGGCCAGCCAGTAGATGCCCAGGTAGATCTCCTGGATGTGAGTGTAGTTTACCACGTCCGGGTAGTATGACGTTACCACGAAGTACACGTGGAAGGGGAGCCAGCACACCGCGAATATCACCACCACCACGATCATCATCTTCACCACCTGTTTCATTGTGATCATTACAGTGTTTGTTAATGAGACGATTTCTACCCGGTTTCTACCAGGGTCAGTGCCGGTTAAGTTTGTTTACAAGCACGGTTTGTACGTTTGTCATCGTCATCATCAGACTTGTAATGTGCCCACTGGGCTACAGGCATCTCCATGAATGCAATAGGGAGATTGAGCCATGACCCATCACGCGGGCCTAGTGCAGATTGGTGGGTGCTAAGGACTGCTGATGCAGCCAGAACTAACTGCTTAACGTGCCTTCCGAAGAACGGAGGAGCTCGAGATACTAATTTTGTGGTCACCCATCCAATTACCGACTACTGCAAAAGTTGCTTAACTTCGAGGATCGCAGCCAAATGCACTAAAAATGTGCGCCATCTACTTCCTCTACGTATGTACGTTTAGGGACCAACGGCTTCACGTTCCTTCCGAAGCTCGAAGGAGCGCGAGATGGTAAAATTTTGGTTACCCATCCAATGACCGACCACTGCGAAAGTTGCTTAACTTCAACAATCACAGCCAAATGCGCTAAATATTTGCGCCATCGAGCTCCTCTACGTTTGATGGTTAAAGTTGTACGTTTGTACCGACTTCAAACCGTCTCGCTAGCGCCGGTATCATTAACAACTCTACAATAGTGTCCCATACCTAACTGACGACAGGACTTAGACACAGTTGAAAACCGTCTCATTAACAAGCACCTTTAGTTATTGCTTCTCTCATTTCAAAATTTAAAAGCATTGCTGAAATGTTTATTTTCAGACTATATTTTTTTTTGTAAATTACGAAAATTGAAAATCGAAACTCTATTGAACACAAAATGACGTCACTCCATGAGACAGTTCAACAAAGTGTTCGCGCCCCTATAAACCCCACATATACATACATATAAAAGAAAAGGAATATTACAAATCATAGCGAAAACTTGCATTTATATAACGGATGGCGCCATCTATTGAATGGGACACCGGAGCGCTCTTAGCCCAAGCGTCATTGGTTGTCGCCGGCAGATAGCAGATGTCGCCCGCGTTCGTGTGTTCGGCTGGTTTTACCGACCATAATGTCATGACTTGTTAAAATTGTTAAATTCATTCTGTCAAGAAAACTGTTACTGCTAAATTGATTTTATTATAACATAAAGCGAAATTACTAAAAAACACCGAGTTTTTACTAAAGAAGACTCCATTCTATGCCCAAACATAGAAAGTTTTTTGGCGACCGTGACAGGACACGAATTACAGTCTTCAGAGGAAAAATCCGTTGCCCGAAACCGGCGTCTGAAGAAAGAAACCTAAAAATTTCAAGGAATTATTATACGAAAAAGGAAAGCAAAGCAAAAGGAAAACTCAACAATTCGTCGTGTGGCTTGCGAGGTCCAACGAGTCATCTAAAGAATCGTGCTGAGCAGAAAACACAGTCGAAGTCAAAAGTTAAGTGCCATCCTTTCTTCCAAAATTACACAAAATCCATTCCTATCTATTTATTATCATAAATACCATTACCAATTATAAATTGTATCTACTTGTTTTACATAATTTTAGTGCATTTTTCGGCAAATAATCAACTACAAAACCGTAAGTACCTACCTACCTACATAACTTTTATAAAAAAAATCTGCTAAAATCAAGGTTTAATTGTATAATTTATTGTATTTCCCTCTACTCAATAATAATAACTTCCCTAAATTCAATTAATTTCATGCTAATAACTTCCAAATTGATTTGAAAAAGATTTTTTTGTGACACTATTTATTACCCACAATTAGCTCAATCCAGTTCCAGCCAAAGAGAGGTAGGGCATAGCGGATTCGCCGCTCGAATTGGAGCGCCCGTCTGGGGAAGTAACCTCCACCTTACAGAATACCGCAGTGAAATAACACTACCTTTTGGTGGTGTTGTGTTTCTGTCAGTGAGTAAGGTTCCAGGGCTCCACGGGGTAGGATTTCTAGGGGTGTAATTTTATGTGTGTTGGGATTTAATATAAAATAAAAGAATTCTTCAAAGCAGTGTAGGTTTATTAAGTGGTTTATTATACAACAAAAAAGGAAAAGGGTTTAAATTATTTAAAAATCAATATCAGTTGTTAGTTAACAAATAGAGCATTTAGTGTCACAAAAGTGTTATTTGGCTGTTTTCTCATCCGATTTAACGGGCATTTTCCAGGCAAATCATCTGTGGTGCGGAAAGGTGACATAGCGTTTGGAGTTCGATCGCTTGCGTTACCGGAGGACACCCACCGAGACATTCCGGCAAATTGGGAGCGTCAGATAAGCCTGTTCAATTATTCCTATTTTTTTTTGTTTGCAAACAAGTTCAATATTTCCTCTTTTGCCGTCGAATTTTGTTGACTGAATAAGCATTTTCGTAATTTTCCAATTGATTTGGTGTCAAAATGGCTACTGCATTATCACCTAATCCAGCTGTTTCTAATTTAATTGCTACAACAACAAATTTAAAATCTCTTTATACAAAACGCAGTTCTATAAAGGGACAAGTAACTAAGTTTAAAAATTATATAGAAAAGATAAGTGAGAACATAGAGGAAAAAACTGATTTAGAAATTGCAGAATTAAATTTAAAATTAAATAAATTTGAAAGCTTGTCAGCCAGATTCGACGATTTGCAGACTGAGATAGAAGATATAAATTCAGATAATTTATCATGTGAGGTTGATGAAAGGGAGCTCATTGAGGATTTGTTTATTCAATGCATTGCAAAGGCTAAAGCTATAATAAAACAAAATGATGGCTCGATAAACAAGTCTATCCATGAGTGCCCTGACATAGAATTGGGTATAAGGTTGCCACAAATTCAAATTTCAAAATTTGACGGATCCTACTTCCGCTGGCTTGAGTTCCGTGACACTTTTACGAATTTAATTCACAAAAAAACCAACATAACAGATATACATAAATTTCATTACTTAATATCGTATCTTGAAGGGGATGCAGCGCGTATCATTACCAATTTGGAAGTATCTTCTACTAATTACAAGGAAGCCTGGCAGCTTCTTTGTGATCGTTACGACAATAAGAGGCTTCTCATTAATCATCATTTAGATTCATTATTTAAAATTCATCCCATAAATCGAGAATCGGAAAGATCATTGCGTTTCCTTGTTGATCATGTCACTAAAAATCTTCGGGCACTTACTAGCCTTGGTCTTCCAACCCAACATTGGGACGTTCTTGTAATTTTCATTCTTTCGTCAAAATTGGATAGTGAAACGAATGTCAAATGGGAGGAATTTCGAAATACTTTGGATGACATTCCTTCTTTAGAACAATTTAAGAAGTTTTTGGTTGACCGTGCCGATGTACTCGAATCCTTGAATCGCAATAAACATCTAAACAAGCCGACTGTCGGCAACAACTTCAAGGTCACGTCAAATTCAAATATGAAATTTCATTCTCGTTCGTTTCCTAATTACAATTCGAGCAATAGTAAAGTTAATAGTAACAATGATGGCAAAAATACGAATACCTTTATATCCGTAAAATCAAACCAAAACAATTCTACATTCTTGTGCGTAATCTGTAATAATAATCACAGAATTTATGATTGCCCAGTTTTCAAATCAAAGAGTTTAAAGGAAAAATATTCACTAGTTGCTAAATATAAGTTATGTCAAAACTGTTTACGTCAAGGGCATCCTCTTAATGAATGTCGTATGGGGCCTTGTCGACAATGCAATCAACGGCATAATACTTTGTTGCACGATCCTGGCGTTGTTGTCGGCTGTTCTACCTCTGAACATGTTGATGGAGGTAGTGAACCTAATTCGGTTGTAACCTTATATAATGGTGATTCGAATTGTGCGCTTCTTTCCACGGCTTTGTTGGACGTCATCAATCCGGATAGTGGTGCGATAGAAAGAGTGCGTGCTCTGCTTGATTGTGGTAGTCAGTCTTCGTTTATAACAAAGTCGCTTACACAAAGGTTATCACTGAACACTGCACCTCTAAAGGCGGTTAATGTGATTGGAATAGGAAATAATTGCAACAATAAAATAAAGGAAAGTTGTTTGGCTAAGATTAAGTCTATAAATAGTACTTACCAAACTACCTTATCCTGCTATGTACTCGAAGAGTTAACAGGTTTGTTGCCAAAGACACCTGTTAATGTACAAAATATGAACATACCCAAAACCATAAGGCTTGCAGATCCTCAGTTTGCCCATCCTGCTCCGGTTGATGTTTTGATTGGTGCGGATCTCTTTTGGGACATTCTTGGCTGTAAGCAAAAATACTTGGGACCAAATAACAAAATACAATTACGAAGTTCTAAATTCGGTTGGATTGTTGCTGGTTCAACTAACTTATTGGGACATAATAAGTTTTTTTGCAATCATGCATCTCTCAATCAAAATAAAACACTTAAGGTTGATGAATTAATAACAAAATTTTGGGAGCTCGAAGATCTGCCACAAAAGACAGTTCTCGGCTACAATGATATTGAATGTGAAAAACATTTTGTGAAGAATACATCTCGTTCTCCAGAGGGCAGATTTTGCGTGAAGTTGCCTCTAAAGGATACTCCCGACTGCCTTGGAGATTCTTACTTTCGAGCCAAACAAAGGCTTCTAAACCTTGAAAAGCGATTTAAAAGAAATCCAGAGCTAAAATTACAATATACAAACTTTATGCGGGAATATCAAGATTTAGGTCATATGTCTGAATCACCCACGAAAGAACAATATCCATCATATTTTTTATGTCATCATGCTGTCTTTAAAGAGGAGAGTGAGTCAACCAAAATTCGAGTCGTGTTCGATGGCTCCTCTCCCACAACTTCAGGATATTCTTTAAACGATATATTGATGGTGGGCCCTAACGTCCAACAGTCGCTTTTTTCCATATTGGTCAGAGCCCGTCAACACAAATTTCTCTTGACCGGTGACATAGCTAAAATGTACCGTCAAATAAATGTCAATGAAGAAGACAGGGACTTGCAACTGATCTTGTGGAGGGAAAATGAGAATGAGCCCATTAAAACATGGCGTCTCAATACTACAACATATGGTACTGCAAGCGCTAGTTACTTGAGTACTAGATGTTTAAACCAAGTTGGAGAGGAATGTGGTGAACAATTCATCAAAGATATCATACAAAAGGATTTCTATGTTGATGATTTGATCACCGGCTGTGATAATGAACTAGAGTTACGTCACATACTAAATTCAGTAACAAACGCCCTAAATTCAGCATGTTTCCCCTTGAGGAAATTTAAAACAAATTCAAAGGTTTTGTTTGAAGATTCAGATTTGAGTTCTGCAGATGTCTTAACGTTAAGTGAGTCTTCGCACACCCTGGGTCTTGGTTGGGACCCTGTGAATGATACTTTCAACTTTCCAATCAAGGTTAATACTGACATTGATATAAGCACCATCACAAAAAGAATTATACTGTCGCTTTCATTTCAAATCTATGACCCGCTTGGTCTTTTGAGCCCCTGCATTATTCAAGCAAAAATATTAGTCCAAAGGCTATGGCTAGAAGGAATAGGATGGGATGAACCCATTTCTGTGGATCTTAGGGAGAAGTGGTCTGAAATCTACAATAACCTGTCTTTTCTTGCAAGTCTTCAGATTCCCCGCAGGGTGCTGTGCGAGTCTCCGACATCTTTTGAGCTGCATACCTTTAGTGACGCTTCGCAATGCGCTTATGGTGCTTGTGTATACTTGAGATCCACGAGCTGTGACAACGAGATCACGGTGAGGCTACTATGCTCAAAGTCAAAGGTGGCACCTCTTAAACCGTGCACCATACCTCGTCTCGAACTCTGTGCCGCATTGTTAGCTGCTAGACTGTCTAGGAGTGTACTTGATTCATTAAGAGGGCTCCCTACTCGTACGTTTCACTGGTGCGACTCGAGTGTGGTGTTGGGATGGATTAACAGTAATCCAATGAAGCTTAAGCAATTTGTTGCTAACAGAATAGGCGAAATACTGGAATTAACTAATCCCAAATCGTGGTACTATGTTCCAACTGACTCCAATCCTGCTGATTTAATATCTCGTGGAGTCAATAGCAACCAGCTTTCTAGCATGGAATTGTGGTGGTCAGGTCCTAGTTATTTAAAAAAAAATGAATTAGAATGGCCCAAATTAAACGGAAAAACAGTAGTTGAGAACTTACCTGAAGTCAAGGTACTCACTATTGCGATCGTAGATGAGGGAATACCCTTAATCGACTTTAATAAATTTTCGAATTTTGATAAAGTACGTAGAATTCTGGCTTTCGTGTTGCGTTTTTGCCATAATATAAATTCTAAAACTAAATCCATGAAGTATACAGGGTATTTTAGGCCCGAGGAGTTGCAAAACTCATTTATTTTAATTTGCAAAATTAATCAATCATTGTGTTTTAAGGCAGAGTACGAGAAACTTTTGAAGGGCGTTGCGTTGAGCAGTAAATCGAAAATTTCGTCTCTATCACCATTTTTGGATGAGCAGTTTGTAATACGTGTTGGTGGTCGACTTGGTTCCTCCAACTACCCATTTGAAAAGAAGCATCCCATATTAATTGACTCCTCGCATCGTTCGACAAGGTTACTGTTTGAACGTGAACACATCAAAAATCTGCATGCTGGTCCACAGCTTCTACTGGCTACCTTGAGAGAAACCGTTTGGCCTATTAACGGCAGGAGGCTCGCTAGAAGTGTCGTAAGGGATTGTCTTGTTTGCAGCCGTGTGCGCGGCCAAACACTTTTAACCAGAATGGGCGATTTACCTGCATATCGCGTATCAGTTGATTTTCCATTTAGGACTGTTGGCGTAGATTATGCTGGTCCTTTTCTTATCCTAAATAGAAAGGGTCGAGGCGCTAAAGCAACAAAGTGTTATTTATGTATTTTTATATGTTTGCGATTCAAATGTATACATTTGGAGGCAGTGTCAGATTTATCAATGGAATCTTACATAATGACCTTCCGTAGATTTGTAGCGCGTCGTGGTAAGCCAACGGAGGTATATTCAGACAACGGTCGAAATTTTGTGGCAGCAGCCAAAGAATTGTCTAGTTTTTTAAAACAAAATAATAAACGTCTATCCGAGTTTGCATCTCAGGAGGAAGTAAAGTTTAATTTTATTCCGGCTTACGCTCCCCACTTTGGCGGAATGTGGGAGGCTGGTGTGAAATCCGCAAAGTATCATATTAAAAGAGTAATGGGAAATACGCATCTTACGTTCGAGGAATTTAGTACATTATTAGCACAAGTAGAAGCAATTTTAAACAGCCGTCCCCTTTGTCCCATGTCTTCCTCTCCAAATGACTTACTTTCCTTATCCCCCGGGCACTTTTTGATTGGAAGACCTTTGAATGCTTTACCATCAGCCGCACTGGAGGACCTGAAGGAGACATCTTTAAGCCGCTTCGCCCGTTTGGAGCAGATACGTCAGCATTTTTGGAGAAGATGGCAGAAGGAGTACATAACCGAATTGCAACAACGAACAAAGTGGAAGACAACAAGGGCGACGCTTAATGTTGGAGATTTAGTACTGATTCACGAAGATAATAATCCCCCGCTAAATTGGAGGATGGGTAGAGTTACACGATTATATCCTGGATCAGATGGGATTTCTAGAGTCGCTGATATTCATACCACTAAAGGATGTATACGTCGGCCGTTGGTTCGACTCTGCCGACTTCCCGCTGCTGTTGAATTTAAAGGTTGAAGAACTTGGCTCTTCAACGGGGGGGAGTATGTTCGCGCCCCTATAAACCCCACATATACATACATATAGAAGAAAAGGAATATTACAAATCATAGCGAAAACTTGCATTTATATAACGGATGGCGCCATCTATTGAATGGGACACCGGAGCGCTCTTAGCCCAAGCGTCATTGGTTGTCGCCGGCAGATAGCAGATGTCGCCCGCGTTCGTGTGTTCGGCTGGTTTTACCGACCATAATGTCATGACTTGTTAAAATTGTTAAATTCATTCTGTCAAGAAAACTGTTACTGCTAAATTGATTTTATTATAACATAAAGCGAAATTACTAAAAAACACCGAGTTTTTACTAAAGAAGACTCCATTCTATGCCCAAACACAAAGTAAATATTGAAAAATATCTATAAAACGTTTAAATTGTAGCTCTATCCACTGTCATGAAAAATTGTACATTGTACAATGTAAGAAAATAAGTATTATTCTGTGGTCAACATCTGCCTATCTCTTCCACCACGAAAAGTTTAAGTTTTTCAAGTATGTCCACGTTCACCCGTTTATAGCAATTACGTTTTTATGCGCGAATTTTAAAATGTAAATTTTTGATTTTAAGTACAAAGTTAAACATCTTAATAACAGAAAAGGAAATAACTGTGGTGGGAAGGATCTCGTTTCCATCGTTTGTTCCCCTTTTGAGATGAGATGACATTTCTTTACGACGTTTGCAATGGGACTATAGACTGCACTGAGCTTGCCTCTTAATTTTTAACACTCTACACACCCATTACCCATACCAGACATCTTCTTTCTTTTTCGCAATTCTAACATGTCCCACAAACTATGCACAAAACTCAGTAGTTGTTTTCGATCGCAAAGTACTCACACCAAAAAATTCACAGCTGTTGACATATTTGCTTGAAAATGTATCAGCATCTTTTAAAAAACAACTTTTAGGGCTGCTGGTTGATTTTTTGTAAAATAAACACACATGTATACATATATACACACACAAACACACAGACACACACACATAATATACACATACACAAATATATACACATCTCGCCCTTTTTTGGTAGGGGGTTTTCTACACTTTCAAGTTATAACTAAAAAATTAAAATCCGTCATTGGCAATCAGATAAACTTTGTTGTGAAACCTGTATTCTATTAAAAATATGCTGTGGATTTTGGTCTAGAATTAAATAAATAAATTAATAAAACACTATTTGATTATTCATACACAATTAAAATTTTACGTTCTACAGGCATAAGATATAAATAATCTATAAAATTCTGAGGAAGTACTTATTGATGTACTCTTCGACTTACAGAATAGTGAGCCCAAATAAAACTTATCCGTAACCTTGCTTCAGTAAAAAGCAACGTTGTCAGAGCCTTAAGGGATAGGGGAGCAGGGATCTGGTCGGCAAAATGAGGACGACTGATACGGGACATATATCTTTTCGCTATCTTCGGACACAAACAGGTTCGTGGAGTCATTTGATTAGGTTGATTTAAGAAAAAAAAATATAGTAGCATGGGAGGGGGTGTTATAAACTCCGTGAGACTAGCATAAAGATTTAAAAAATATAGTTTATTCATATCAGCCTTTTACAAGCATTTATAATATAAGTCGAAAACTACACCATCAGTTGGCAAATCTACTTAGACATACGGTAGGAGTCCTTGTACTGAAAAGAACCGTAAAGGGAACTTAGTAAAGGCTGTTTTTTTCTCACCGTATAATTTGAAAAATAGTTTAATTATGTTTTTATTTATTTTTAAGCATTTAACTGCTAGATGTTTAAATCTAAAGAAAAGTTATAGTTATAGAAAAATAGTTTAATATTTGATAATTTACCAAATCCCATAGCATTTACAGTCAATTAATTGATAATGAAATTTTGATAGTAAATGATTGTGATGTTTCTATGTAACTACCTAATAGAAATTACTACATAACTTACCCGTCTTTTACTTTTTACATTGTCTAGCTGCCTCTGAGTGCATTCGCCAATGGACTGGGAGCCCCACAGCTCGATGCCGACCCTGGAGTAGGTGTACGACATGGACATTATGGGCAAGAAGTACGTCAGCACCATGAATGCCACGTTGTAGCTGCAAGAGAACACATGAATAAATAAATATTGGAAAGCAATTGTACCCAAAGGGAACAGTCAAGAGTACACAGGAAAACATGCGCTCAAATCTTCATACGTAATTTATATTTTAAAACTTTTATAACTAATTCTACAAAACGAGCTTAAATATTTGATGGTGTCCGAATGTCACCAAAAAATATTTCAAATAATAAAGTGACAATTCGTACTCTGTGTCCAATTGTCTTTATCGAGTCGTCAGCAACTTATATTTAACTCCGATTCCAAATAAAGATGACGAAACAATTGAAGGGAAAATAGAAAAAAAACATTTTAATAATAGAATATTGTTAAGGAAATCAGTCCCCGTAGCATGAGCACTACAATTTACATTATATCACGTTTTTATCTCGTCTAAATGTCAAACTTCATAGTAATTTGACAAGTGAGCGTGATAAATACGCGTTATATATCATATCGCGGCGCTTATGCTAGGGGGGCAGAAACTACTAACATAACACCAGACGATATACTGGAGATCGAACCCAGTTGGCGGCGATATGAAAACTGGGATGAAAGTCATTCAATCACGGAGGACATTAATGGCCTAAGACGCCAAGCTTATTGCTGTAAACTGGAAGCAATGCAAGTTACCCATGTCGATCTTAAGCAATGCGTCCGTTTACTAAGATTCGTGACTAGTGATTTTGACCTTAGTTTATGTGATATTTTAAAAGAACTTCGGCTCCACTCAGAGACGTCAATCAAGAAGTTTGTGAAGAAACAGACAGATGAAGTCACTTTCGCATTTATAATAATTAAAACTAAGTACTTGTTGGGGTGACCTCGACCGAGTAATTAACAACAACGGACAATAATAAATTGAGTTTTCGATTGGAATTCTTTACATTTTATGGGCTAACCAATATTATTTTCAACCTTTAAAACTTTATGGAACAACTAACAAACTCGATTAAAACTAAGTATGCTTTTAAGAGGCTGAGCTTTGATTACACTGTAACTACAGAAGTCAACTTCTTTTAGTTGGTTAGCAAGTCCTAGAAATATAAATTATTCTATTTACACGACAGGGCTAGCAAACTTGTTGAATTAAAGCTTACTACTGCACTAACAAAGATTATCCCTTTACATACTTAAAAAAATAAAGACTCAAAACCTTTACATAAAAATATTCTAACTTTAATAAACAAGTGACCCACTCTCTTTTTGCTTCGGTGTAGGACTATAGTTTTCGGGCTGCCCTTTTTTCTATTCTTCTTCCTGTTTATTTTTGAAGTGAAAACTTCTTTAGCGGCGTTGTACACTTTTTTTTGTGGGGGGAAAAAAAATGTTAAACTCGCGCCAGGTTAAACACGAGGGCTGATCGCATCATGACACACAATAAAATTGGATAGGTTGTTGACTTTCAATGCGCTTAAACGTGATTCATGTAAGTAATAAGCAGATGACAGACAAAGACTACGAGAACAAAAACAATAAATTTTGATAGGAACAACCCTAAAACATAATGTCAATACTTTATAAAAACTACATCAATTAAAAAGGTCGGCAACAATCAGAATGTGGAATGTTATACTCAATTCCTATTACGATCTCCTTAGTAATAGCAATAGGTCCTTCTCACTGAAGCAGCGCTGCTTCCAAGGGACGGACTCAAAGTAGTCGAAACGAACTCGTAGTAGTAGTAGCGAATACATGGGCAGAGATCTCTGCATGGTCAGTTTTGGAGGAGCCCAACCAAAAACCGCGTTGGGTGTTAAAGTCCCCCAAAAAGAGCAGTTCTGCTTTGAGAAAATGCGCCTGGGTATTATCTGCTGCCCGACTAAGATGTTCAAAGAATCGAGTTATCTCAGCTTCACCGGTGTGGGATCTGTAGAGGCACTCGTAGACTCTGGCCACCAGAGTCTACATGTACCGCTAACATGGAGAATGAGGGGGGGGGGGGGTCTTTTAGGCAGCTCAAACCGCGACAACAAGCACCCACCCGGACATACAGGTATACGCCGGCTTTCACTTTGAAGGATTCTTCAAGCACGTTATAACCGAATATACACGTACACACTCTCTGCGTACTATTCACGTAGTTACAGGTGTAAATAAATACTTTTACAAGATTTTTACAACTCATATTTGACCGATGAAATAGTAACACGTAGCAATGATTTTGTCATGTAAAAGTGTTAATAAATACTAAGTTAATGCGCCAAATGGAAATGAAAGAAACTAGAGCTTAGAATATAAAGTGTTGAGATCAAAGCACTTGCGATAGTTACGGACAGGACGGCATATAAACCTGGTATCTTAACACCCTTCGGAGTTTTCGGTTTATTATGCATGCAATGGTCCAGTGATATTTTTGAATGAATACGACCTAAGGAAGAAGATTCAATGGAGTAAAGCAGTGACACTGGTTTTAATACATAATGTATAACATAACTTTAGACCTTTTCATTTACAAGAAATTGTTAATCTATTTCGTGCCCTTACCTTAGTTAAAGCATGCTAATTATTTTATGTTTAATAACATTTTGGTATATTAGTTGTTAATTAGCATCTATCTTCACGTCGTAACTTTATGCGTTCTTTTTAATTTCGACAAACTTTTGTCGCGCAACTTGGCATTTTGAAGCAATAATTTCAACATGAAACTCGTTAATTGACGTGCGTATCGCTCAGCGTTGTTTCCGTCACTTATTGGCAAACGACTTAGACACCACCAGATGGGTGATATTTTTTTCAACGCATTTGTGCTGCCACACTCTAACTAGAGAGTAAATAATCAAAGGGTTGAACTTGTAATAACCCAGGCAGTTCAATAAATCAATTTCAGTTTCTCAAAACTTTATTCAAGTGTCAAAGTTAATAATTTGGCAAATTGATTGATAGCGAATTCGAGCAAAGTGTGTTACACAATAATATACCTGATTATGTATTCAGAAGATCACTAAACATTCAATAAGACATTTCTTGTCATATATATTGGGCCAAATAAGATTTTTTGCTCGATGGAAAGCGATGGAAGACGCAGGCATTTGTGGCACAGTTTTATACTAATGCAGCTACGTTGACCTTTTATCTCTTAATTGTGTTTTCTTTTGTAAACATTTTTTTATTATTGTTTAACCTGTAAATTATCTTTTAAATTTGTTTAATTTTTCACTTTGATTTCCTCCTACTCCGAATATACATTATGTTCTTTGAACCACCACATTAGTTGCTACGCGCTGTTTCCACGCGTGTTGATCTGGACTGTAGTTTCAACCATACATATTACCGACTTATGCTGCGATTACATTTGGTTGGTTAGCCCGTATTCGGGTGCCCGAAAGACATTACTCGAATTCGGGCACGCGAAACAATATTTACACTGGAATACGGGCTGGACGACGGTGTCGGGTAAAAAAAAAGGAAATCTATCCGAATACGAGCGTACTCAACTCCTTTCATTTACACTGAGTCGTTTACCCGAATTCCATTGGCACTCGTGTTCGGGCCAATGAACAAGTGTGATTGCGCCATTAATATTATTTAAGTCAGTCTATTCTTTTTTTGCGGGGGAAAATATGCACACAAACGCAGTTTAACGTTCACGCATATAAAACAAAACTGTAACTACGACACTCACACATAAACAATGACACAATACATCGCCCAATCCTGCACACATGTACTGTTTGTATGCCCAACTCGAGAGAGGCGAAAGCTGTGTATGCCTACTCCCCTTCTGGCCGCGTTGGCCGTATAAGTCCATACAAGAAGAAAATGTCGCTTAATACCACTGCTGTAGCCCCGAAGCCCTATGACAGAATCGGCTGCTTATTAGATTTTTCCTTCTGTCCATCCATCCCGAACGGTTTCCACATTGGACTTATTGGGCACGAGTTTTGAATCGAAATAGTGCTAGCGAAAAATATAATAATGAACTTCCTATATCCCTCGGAGTAAAGATTTGCGGTTTTGTTAAAAAGGAAATTTTGCAATAGCGTAATATAGCTTAATTTAAAATGTGTTAAGTATGAAAGGTTGTACCTATTATGCAACAATTTTGTGTCTTACTTACAGACAAACTTGGATTTACAAACTTTCAATACACATTAAAGTCGTGAGCGCATAGTTATGCGTAGAAAACATAAATTCACACTTCTGCTCTAGGGTTACCAACTCAACAATTTAATACAAATGCCTCATAATAAATACAACAAAAGAAGGTTCTTTTGGCTTTTAAAAATTGGAAATATTACTGTATTAGTAACTACTAATGTACTGCATTACAGAAATTATTCAACTGTGCTTTGCCGTGCTTATGGTTAAGCTCGTATTATAAGTTTTTTAAAAAGTTGGTGGTGTGTGGGTTTTTAATAAGCACTATACCTTATTTAATTTTGTAACGACGCGGCGACGGTTATCATTACCCTATCCAAGATCCGTGGTTACAGAATCTTCAAATTGAAGGGTAACATAAATAAATAAATATAATGGGACTTAACAAATCGTGTAATAACACTTGTACCATATGTAAGATAAAAGTAAAACACATTAAAAATTAGGTCCGGTCACATACCATTAAATAAGTAAATACATCTTATTGCGAAATATGTCAACAAACTGAGGACGTGCATTATCTTTTCATCGAATGTGAGCGGAATCAACTTCAAAGACATAATATTGTCACAAACGCTCTCAAAACGGAACCGTGAAAGTGCTAGAGATCGAATGTGCCAGAGCACCGCGGGTCGCGATAGAGGTCGAGTAATGCAGGTCATTCCAAAATGAGCCTTATACAGTACGGCGTAAGGGAGAAAGTGCAATGACATCTGCACTTGTTTACAAGTTATGCGCGTTACCTGCGTAGGTATAAGTAGGTACTTAGTACTCGCGGGTGATAGCTAATTCTCAATTTAACAGGTACTTTCTAGAATGCGTCGATCGGCGTATATAAGCGCGATTGGTGCCGCGCAGAGGCAGTTGAGTTTCAACAGCGATTTCGGAGCGAATCCAAAGGCGATGAAAGTGCAACGAAAGTGTTGAAGTGAGATTGTTTAGAGACTTGTATTGTGAAATACAGTGTTTAGTGAGTGTTTTGTTATTAACATTGTGTGTTAATTGTGTGAACTGTGTGGTGAATAAAGAACTGTCAAGCGTGAACTGGCATATAATTTTTAACCCCATCCCGACACGTAAAAATATATTTATAACTAGGTATAAAATCAATAAGTTGGATATAGGTTTTGTTCAGTGTTCTGAAGCCGCTTTGTATTTGTGTAGTTTAGTGGAATAGTGCAAGTAAATTACACAAGTACTACATATATATAAACTTTTTGATTGTTGATTAAGTAGTTAAGTAAGTACTTATAAGTTTGTTTCGATTGAACTGCCATGACATCAGGCAAAAGCTCCTAAACAAAATAGATAGTAAAAAAAAAAGAATTAATGTCTATTAAAAAGTTCGTTTTATTTTACTAAAAATTAACTCCCAATAAGTACAATAGAATCATCAAAAGTACTACAATTTTATGATATCAAATGAAAAGTCATTTATTCAGTCTAGGCTGTTACAAGCACTTGTGAAGGTCAAGAAGCTACTCCATCCGTGCGCAAAACTACGGCGACAGACCTTATATTGAGAAGAACCGGCAAGAAATTCAGCAAGGGCTGTATTTTTCTCAATATATTGTTATATACGGAGTCGTCTAGTTGAAAAATGACTTCAGAGGTAAGTTTGAAGTCACCTTCCATTACATCATTTAGAATATAAATATATAGTTACAATATATTTTGTAGTTAACTTTATATTTAGTATAAAGGAAGCGACATTAGATAGATACTATGTTACTGTTATGAAAAATGACTAATACCCATCAAATAACAAATAACAAGAAACACTATCTAAATGCATTACGATCATTTAGATAATCATCAACTTTATTATAGCACTTATTTATAAGAGTATTCTTGATCTGAGATTAAATTTGGTCAGTGGAAGCTCAATCAGATCTTGGGGAACTAAAGTTCTAAAAGTTTTTTTTTTTTTTTCCAAAACTAAAGTTTTTTTATTCTATCATAAATTATAGAATGCAATACTACAACCCAGAAATGTAACGGCAACCTTGTTCTTAAATCTCGTGTTAAAGTTATGGGTTTGACTTGTAAATGCATCATAGTTTTTTCTTACTTATATTAAATTTTCATAAATGTTTTGCGCATATATATATATATATCTGTAATACTTTTTATATTTATCTGTAAAATTTATTCAATCAGAGGTTTTTTTCGAGTCTCTTCTTCGAAATAATTTATTGCGGAATTTTGCAACCCTACCACTTTCCCTTCCGACGCGAGTCAAGGCCATAGGTCTGAATTACACGACGTCTTTACAATCATTTCCACGTCGCCTAACGAGCCTGCAATCAACTTAATTGTATCTCTTTTCTTGCAAATTCAGACGGAAAAGTAATACAGGAACTTCGTAAGACCTTTGCAGGAAGGGTGAAATTTAGATGCCTTTGCAACCGAAAATCTGGCCACGAAAACATTCATCAAATGACTGGGAACCAAGGAGGTGCCACAGAAAAAGAAAAAAGATTTTTATTTAGTCACTTTACAAATTGCTACAATACAGGGTCAACGAAGGAGTTACTTATTTTACGACAGGAAACAAATCTAGGTCATTTATTTGTATCTAAGGTATTACTTTAAAAACGGTTAAAAAAAGTTTATACTAATATTAATTGGTGAATTAAGACGTAGTAATGATTGATTGAAGATTTCAAAATTCAAAATTCATTATCGTTTATTCAGTCTAGGCTGTTACAAGCACTTGTGAATGTCGAAAAGCTACGCCATCGGTTCGCAAAACTACGGCGGGAGACCTTGTACTGAGAAGAACCGGCAAGAAACTCAGCAAGGGCTGCTTTTTTCTCCCTGTTTTATTTCATACAGTGTCGTCCAATTGAAAGTTGACATCAAACTTGCAAACATGTGTTGAGGTCAACTTCCATCACATAATGTCAAATATGTAACAATCAATGAATTTACTAACAATAACTGCAAAGATAAGTCCCAAAATAGCAAGAAACAATTTTCAAAATAAAATGAACAAGTATATGAAAGGGAGTAAGTGCAAGGTTCTCTTCAAAACTCTTTCTATAACTGGGAGCCTTAGTTTTAATATAACTTTTGAAAAATTATCTACAAGTAAAATTACAACCAGGCCGTTTTATCATTCAAATATTGATTGACAGTATAATATCCTTTCTTAAGTAAACAATTCTTAATGTGTATTTTAAATTTATGAGGAGGCAAATCAAGGATATCAATAGGAATCTTATTATAGAAATGTATACCTTGACCCATAAATGATTTATGAACCTTCTGTAACCTGTAATTTGGTATCTTGAGTTTATTTTTATTCCTTGTATTAAAAGAATGTATGTCACTGTGTTTTAGATAATAGTTAATATTGCTTCGAACAAAAAGTATGCAATTATAAATGAATTGAGAAGCAACAGTCAAAATCCCGATTTCTTTAAATTTTTCTCTAAGAGATGTTCTAGAACTAAGTTGATAAATAGCCCTTATAGCTCTTTTTTGCAAGATAAATATAGTTTCAATATCGGCTGCTGATCCCCAGAGAATAATACCATAGGATACAATACTATGAAAGTAACTAAAGTATACAGTTCTAGCAGTAGCTACATCATTTAATAACGTTGGGCGCCAGGTACGACGGTAGCGTTCGGTAGAAGGGATTCGACAGTAATAATAATTCGCCAAGAACAAGCTTGTTTATTAAAGGTAGAAATAAAAGCCCTATATGGGTTTAAAACTTAATATTTTGCAGAATCATTTAAGATTTATAATTTATAATCACTATTACCAAATAGATCTATTTATCTTTTACGGAATTTGCTGCTGGACTGGCAATAATATAATTAATGGCAGCCTTCACGGAATTGTATTTCAAATTAAAAAAACATTTTTTTTAATTAGTGGCCAAGAAGGTCGAATATGCGAAAATAAACAGTTGCGGCTATGCCGCACTGTTACACGCTCTAGGCTACATTTGAAAATGAAACCTTATACCGAATGAATGAAATAGGAAATTGAAATGCCTATCACATTTTTTTACGTGGATGGAGTCACGAACAGCTACGTACTAGTATTCTTACTAAAAATGTTAAAGAAAGAAAAGCTATGCTTAAAGAAGTTTCCGTAGCGTATGACACCAAGAAAAAAATATTTTATCTCGTATCGCCCGCCCAACTTTTCCGTATTATTTAATTTTGATAGTATTAAGCTTTCCTTACTTTGGGATCAAATAATTTTTGTGAGTTGTCCGAAATACATTTATTATAATTATTATTCGCTTTGTAAAAAGAAAAAGCAGTAGAAAGCAGGCTTTAATGTACACAAGGCTTTTTTCTGATCAATTTTTTTTTATTCCTAGACAAACAATAATTTGTCCGCACCAAGATAGATTTTTTAGATGTGGTAGTGGTAGCAACAATTGAAAATTCTTACTTCTAAACAAAGTTTTACGATGACTAAATAAAATTAGGATTTTTCTTATTCTAAATGAGAAAAAGTACTAAGATTTTAAATTTTTATGTTGCTTTATAAAAAAATAATGAAACAAAAGGGTATTAAAAAGAAGTTTACATTTCGATTCCAGGGCAGGTGTTTTTAAAAAGGAATTTTCTCCATGCGGTGTTATTTGCGAGTTCTGATCTAATATTCAAATGTAGCTATCAGATTGTGTAAAGCCGGCGTGACTAGGCGTCCGGCCAACAAAGTATTGTAGAATAATTCTATTCTTTTAGTGGGAGAGCTGAACGAAAATTTTATTCGTTTTCTTGGAGCAAAAACCAATTGAAGTTCTCTGTTTCCGGCAATTAATAATACTATAAATATTTGTTGGCATATTGTCTCCACATCCGTACATGTGTATATTTTTTTTTCATTTTTGTACATTTACAAATTTACATTTAGGAATACACTCAAAAACTACAATTTCGAAAATTATTCCACTGACTAACAGCCTTCTGACTATTATAGATCTAGTATTATAATAATTCCTAAAGTTTACTTGTCTGTCTGTTATGTTTAAATGACTGAAACGTTGAATCAATCATGTTGAATTTTTTTGTAGGGGGTGTAACTTCGAACAAGACGAAAATATTTTTGTCGCAACGGAGAAATTGAACTTGCATGGGCTTCGATTGACTTATTAATGTTACCCTTTATTTTAAATTAAGATATCTAACTACAATAATACGGCGTGTTCTTAGCTGATAGGTACTTACATATACTCCAGATTTGACCTGGTGGTGATCCCGTCCGGCCAATCAGCGAAGCACACCCGTCTACGGAAAAAAATAATTGGTTATAAGTCAGTAAAGCTTTACGCTTTTTTTCCGTGCTTCGGAAGGCACGTTAAGCCGTTGGCTTAAGGTCCCGGCTGCATCTGCAGTCGTTAGCACCCACCAATCCGCACTGGGCCAGCGTGGTGGGTCATGGCCCAATCTCCCTATTCCATCCATAGGGAAGGCCTGTGCCCCAGCAGTGGGGACATAAATAGGCTGATGATGATGATGATGATGAGAGCTTTACGCAATGGGGCTGGAACCCAATCGCTGACATATTATTGTTTACAACCAAAGAGTACAACACCCGTTAAAAAGGCGAAAACGTTAACATATAACGAGTTTGATATCATACTAGCTGTGCCCCGCTGTGTTACCTGCATTTTTTAGGTTTGTTAGGGATATTTTCCCGCAGTAAAACATAGCCTATGTGTTAATCCAGGTGTCAGCTAACTCCATACCTAATTTTATTAAAATCGCTCCAGCCGTTTAGACTTGATGAAGTAACAAACATACACACTCACACACACACACTTGTGTGATTCAAGCAATTGTTTGAAAGTGTTTAGAAAAAACACCTTGTATGCCAACCTAATGCTTCACATGACTAATAGCCTCTGCACTTTGTTAATTCGACAGAAGTCTCTCGGTTTCATTCCCTTTAAAGCTTGATTAGGGCATACTATTAAAGCCATCTTCCCTTTTTCCACTTTTCCCCCTGAACTGTCTTCAACTCACATTGTTGTTCCTTTGTCGCACTGTATTCGTAATTTAGTATTTTTATTTTATTATTTTTTACTGTGTTCTTGGATTTTATTTGTTATGTTCATTTTATTGCTTGTGAATGTTATTGTTTCGAATCGTCACTAAACCGGCTCCAACGGAAGACCAGCGCTGATGGCAACTTCAGCACCATGCTGAGTTGGGACCTATTTGAGACAAAAAAATATGTGCATGTTTTGTTTTTATATTCATTTACTGTTGTTTTGTCTCAAATTAAATTAATTTTCTTTCTTTCTTTCCCCCTGCCACCCACGCCGCGGTGTCATATTAATTAGAGATGCCATCAAAATTGTAACAACAACAACTGATTGTAATAATAATAAAGATTTAGAAAGCAAAGCTTTATAAAACTTATGTTCTATACGACTAGAAAATAATATGAAACATTATTAAAAAATAGTAAAAGCTTATCACTATTAATGTGGGTTTATTATGCCTTTACGTTCTTAATAAATTTATAGCGGAGATGAGATGATCTTTGCCAAGAAAATCATTAGAGCATCTTGTGGTTTGTGGTTTCTCCAAGGGTTTCGGCCGTCCTAAGCCCGGTTACGCTGTAAGACTTATGGCGTAGGACAAAAGTCCCTGAATCGTGAAAAAAATTTCCGCCGGGGACTTGTCACGCGATGTGCGGACATTGTTGTCCGAAAATTTAGAGAAGCGCACGCTATGGAAGTAAATTAAATGTTTTCAGATTACGATGTGTTGTAATTAACATGAAGTTTAAGTAAAAGAGAAGACGTTTTAAAAGAGAATACGGAGTGCGGAGCGTGGACTAAAGGTGCAGGGCTATATGCAGTGTTGCGCCTAGTCATACGAGTTCTATCTTTTTCCGGGATTCCCGCGTGCTTTTTCCCGCCTGGTCCCTCGGTGTCCTCGTTTGTTCGCGAAAATTTTTAATTTAATTCCTCGTATGCGTTATTCAATGCAGTTGCAAGCGATCTATTTTGGCGGACAAAAAAGTCTGCGAACAGAATTCCCTCGTCTGCGCAGGCTATTAAGCTCTGGTTTCCTGGAACAGCGAAACCTTCATATAGCGACCGTAACAGACGCAAAAAGACCTAAAAAAGAATAACCACTCTCTAGGAAACCGTGCCTTTATGTTAACATAGACAACGTTTTAGTGACGTCATTCACTGCTGTATTACGGCTGCTTTATGACGGCACCGCTATACTAGGAAATCAGAGCAAAAGGACACTACGAACAGCTTCACTCCCTTCCAAGCTAGACAAGCGAGAAACTATGCAAGACCTTTAGGCGCCTCGTTTGCAGAAAGCTGCTGTTATTATTAGCTTTGGTTGATAGCTAAGCACCCAGCGAGCCTCCTTATCGTGTTGCATTAGCCTCAAGGTTATCCATCAGCTACCAACAGCTAAATCACAAAATAGACCCCAGTTTTCAGATAGATCCTGGAAGTGCTGAAATAACTGCTCAAGTTAAGTATCCACGCACGTGTGTGCTATTTTTTCTTATTCGCTCTCAGTGACCAGAGTAAAATAAAGTGAAACCACAGTGCTGTAATAAAATGGCCCTGCCATAAACCAAGTGACTGAGTGTGAACGCAGTAAAGCTATAGGACGTTTTGACTCCCAAGAGAACGATGGCAATCTCAATAAACACACTTAAGTCTGAGAAAAAAATAGTGCAACTCACATTGTTACCTTAAAATACATCTTTATATTTCTTATATTTGATATTAAAGTGGAGGAAAAAATTAAATATTAACTGCAAAGGCATGACAAAAGCGGAAGAAGTTATTTTTAATAATTAAAAAAGTTGAAAGAAGAAGTTCAAAAGAGAGAGAGAAAGAGAGAATTTCGTAAAACAAAAAGGATATAATTATTACAATTTGTTTGTGTTAAGGTCGAGCAACTTTAACTTTTTCAATTTATAACGGTTCATGAGATACAACTTACATCCAAATAATTTACTCATTAAATGACAATTTTTGTCATTAGATGATTCAGAAATTTTATTTTGTTCGCTTGATATTTCCTGAAATATCATGTCTTATAAAAGTAAAAGCGGCCAAGTGCGAGTCGAACTCGCCCATGAAGGGTTCCGTGGCTGCAAGTAACATAATATTAAAGTTCTTGTAGTTCGTTGTAACTTTGATAGATGTTTTAATAAAAATGTTTTATTTAAAGGAAAATTGTGGTAGACTTTTTTGCCGTATTAAAAAAAAGCATATATTTTTTTATTTTTATCATTCTCTTATTTTAGAAGATACAGGGGGGACGGGGGACGGAATACACATTTTACCACTTTGGAAGTGTCTCTCGTGCAAACTATTCAGTAAAGAAAAAGAAATGATATTAGAATCCTCAATATCATTATCCATCATCTACTTCCAAGTTTCAATAGTATAGTTATCATAGTTTCGGAAAAAGTGGCTGTGACATACGGACGGTCAGACAGACAGACAAGAGGAATCGATAAGGGTTCCGTTTTTTTTTGCCATTTGGCTACAAAACCCTAAAAATGTATATGTATTACGAACGATATTTAAAATCGGCAATTTCGCATTTTCAGACCCCTTGAATCTGAAAGAAGTTGATTTCCGATTTTGTTAGGAGGGAGGCAGGTTCCAGCAGTTTAAAAATGTATACAATCAAGAAAGAAAAGCGCTACGTAAATCGAATCTGAATAATTGTTATTGTCTTTTACGGGTGAGGTTTGCTATTACGTAGCTAATTAATTGGCCATTATGCTGATTACCATAGAAGCGAAATCGTCGTTTGACCCAATAATTAATTAAAACGGGCATTGCTGTATATTCGCCTAATGTGAATAGTATTGAAATCACATAAATTTTAATACTGTATAAGGTGAATGAGGAAAAAGAAAGTTGGTTACATCAGTAATGTGTGTAAATAAATGTCAGTGTCTAAATAAATAATACATTTGTCCTCAACCCTTGTCAGGGACGTCCATGATGATAAAGAGACAGACATATTTGCAGATTGTTTGTCTCATATCCCATTTACAGAGCATATTAGATAACATGGTAGTAATTTATATTGACTTACAGTTACAGATTCTGTTTTACTAATGTTATGTCAGTTCTTAATCTTATTTATTATTATGACACGCTTTTAATATTTGTTTATTTAATAATTATCGAAATATATTACGGTTATATATCCTTTATTAGGAAGTCCAATTAATAAGACTTATTTTCTCAATATTTTTATTAATAATTGTCAAGGGTGATGAGTTTAGTATTTTGTAAAAGCACATACAGTATAAGTATAGTATAAGTAAACCTAAGAATTAAACTCATTCTAGGTCATTCAACCCAGCTTAGGTAATAGTTGAAAAAAATCTAGATGCCCCGTAGTCACATAATGCAATTATGTAGTTCCTTATCAATTTAGTTATTATACGTGGTACTACCCAGAGCTGACGGCACCAACTTTCTACCCAAGATGCCAACACTTATTTTAAAGTTTTAATACGTTATAAATTCTTAAAGTTCACGACAGCGCTCAAACTTATTGGAAGATTGCCATTTATTAATGCCACCTGTGGCAATTAAGAAATTTAATAAGGTTTAAAAAAGTCGGATCTTTTAATGAATCTATAAACATGACGGACAAGAAAATAATGTCTGCTCCTTTTTATGAAACTACTACGATCCCACAATTGTTTGTTAAGCCTTAAAAAATCAAGGGAAAAAGAATTATAAGATATATAACTTCACCGGGAAGTTTACACTAAATAAAAAATACGTTCATCATACAAAATATAGTAACCCGCAGGATCCTTTTCTATAGACCTATGAACGTGTGACTAGTTTATAGTCTCCTTATTAATAAAGCATGAGTATCTTATTTAATGTTTAGTAGAAAATTAAAAAACCGGCCAAGTGCGATTTGGACTAGCGCACCGAGGGTTCCGTTCAAACTCAATTTAATACCTCTACGCGTTTATGAGAAAAGAGGTAGTAACTTTAAAATTTTCAAAAATATTTTTTATTATAAAGGAAACATTGCGAAAACCGTAAATAATAATATCATAATATGATGTAATAAGAAATTTACGGTTTTCGCAATGTTTCCTTTATCTGTACTATAAGACTTTATTTCGTACCAAATTTCTATATTCTAAGTTTACGGGAAGTACCCTGTAGGTTCCCGTGTGAGTTTCGAAAATTTGCGGCATAATTGGCTGTATTAGATATGAATTTCAGTTTGATATCTCCACGCGTTCCTGAGAAAAACAATTTTGACAGACGGACGGACGGACGGACAACAAAGTGATCCTATAAGGGTTCAGTTTTGCCTTTTGAGATAGGAAAGGAGATAGAAAAACTAACAAGATGAATAAAAAGCCTACTTTCTGAGATTTGCGATTTTCAACAAACGATCAAGCGTTAATTCAAGAATAAATTATGCCAACATATCTGTATAAGTAACAGTTCTATTAACATTTGAATAGATGTTAATGACAGAAACACTTGAACATCTGCAACACCAGCCCCCCTAGCATGAGCACCGCGATATGATTTATATCACGTTTTTATCACGCTCAATTATTAAATTATTATGGAGTTTGACAGTTAGACGCGATATAAAACGTGATATAATGTAAATTGTTATGCTCATGCTACGGGGTAGGAAGGTTAAGTTTTACTTACGGGTAAGTAAGTAGAACTTAACCTTTAAATTTTTTGCGTACTTGTTAAAGCTAGGGTACAGGCAATACTTCCAGGCGTCGCATTTATATTGCAATTTCTTTATGGTTTAATTTTACTTACCTACGTTATATTTTTTTAATGTCATGGTAAAATCTAGTGAACCATTAGCCAAAGGCGAACATGGCAACTGTGCCATGTTATCAAGGGAGAACGTTAATGGGGGATTTACATGGGATCGATTTGGCCGTGCGGTTCGTCGCATTCCAAATCGCCTGATTAGTCGCATCGCTACCCCATTTACACCGATGGCTGAACTCGCGGGCGAAGATCATTGTCTACGTAAATATTGAGTAGAACGACGAATACGGACAATTGTGTCGATATTATTAATAGAAAACAAAGGAATTCCGGAGTGCTTTGCAGATGATTGCGTATTGACACGTTAAGCCGGGTCTCCAGTGCGTGTTGCCCTATACAATCAACAAAAACATATTAACATTCAACAAAATCGTCTACACAAAACTTTATTTCACTATTTTATATTTAGTTTTTTATTTTATTTTCATATTTGTTTGCATCGCTAGTTTTTGCTTTGCGAATCCAATAGCACACAATTACACAAATCCCCCCCGTGTGAGTCGAGGGGCAGGGTATTGTTTCAACGTCCATTTTTTTAAACTCCCTCCTAGCGGGGGCTCCGTTCCAAACCTACGCTCCGAGTACAACTTTTAATTCTGACGTTTAAATTTTGACAAAAAATGTACGAATCTTTTGTCAAATTTGACATTTATTGCGCCTGGACCGTAGTTATTGAACGTGTATTTTATGTATGACAGCCACGTGGGCAGCAGACGGCGTGTGTAGAGAAATATGTTTCCGAAACAAAGTTTTGTTTAAGTGTTGTTGTTGTATGTTTTCTAAAACCTTTTGCTGGAGACCCGGTATTACAATGCACTTTGCGTGAACTTAACCTCATCAGGATTTTTTGTTTAATATGTAGATATTGCAGAGTTTGGGATATTTTAAAATAAATAGGGAGTTTTCCTAAGGCTAAGTAAGAAGTGAAATATTGGAGATCGTGTCTCGTGTTAGCAAAATACACATGAAGTTTGCTTTCAACTAACTGTGTTACTGTCTGTGTGGTGAATGTTAATGATAATCTGAATATGTAATGACAAAGTTGCAATTCCTGTGTCCATCTATCTCGATTGGGCATCAGAGTAATTTCATTAGCCAGAAATCGGAATTCGATTGCCGCTGTTTGCATGTTTATACTTAATTTAAAGCGAAGCGGCGTGTATAGTGTTTTAAGGTTTTAATAAAGAAAAGTCGAAAATTTAAACAGTTTAGTCAAACGTAGTAAAAAAATAAAATCATACAAAGGAAAATATGACAACCACTGAGTGAAAAAATTGATTGAGTTTAAATTGATATCGAAATATTTTTTAATTGTTTTGACGAAGAGTTTTTTAAGTTCATAAATAAATATAGTGTACATATAGTAGTATAAATAGCATCTCCACCTTAAATGTAATCAATATCATGCTTATTTAAGGGATAACTTTTCAAACACAGTCAGCCATTCATTAAATTATACCTTTTTCATACTAGGACGTGTAAAAGTGCTTTTTATACTAAATGATTTTTATACCAAACCTCTAAGAGATAATTGTATAATAATAATAACTTACCGTTTGCTGCCGTCAGGTAGAAAGTCGATGTCAGTGGTGAAGTATATCAAGTTGGGACTGCTGATGACCGAGCTGCCGGCCCAGATGGCGGCCGCTATGCCCAGCGTAGCCCGCTTGCCCAGTCGTGGTCTCAACGGACTCATGATGGCCACGTACCTGATGACACAATGTTTATTCTAATTCATCATCATCAGCCTCTGACTACGTGAGTAAAGAAAACACAGAGGCAAAGCTTCATGCAGTGCACGTACTATTGGCGGCGACGGGCCGCTAGTGCTCATCACAAGTAGAAAAATAAAGTACCAATTACGGGCATATGTATTTAACATGAATATTGGGAGTAATTTCACTTCAATGACATAAAAATAGTTGATAATATTACTAAAAATCATTAAAAAAAGTATTTTTGATCTATTGTCACGTCACCGAACTAGGATTGGCGGAGGATAAAATGACGTCACCTGCTTGTATACATGCTGTCGAATAGACTAAACTTTGTACTGTTTTGATGTTTTAACGTTTAAATATTTGCTAAAAAAACGTTTCCGTGGCATAATAGAAAACGGTTTTTTTATTTCATTTTTTTAATTGATATAACAGAATTAAAAATATCGATTTTGTATTTTGTTATGGAGTCACCAATAAATAACGTATTAAAGTTTTCAAAAACTTGTCAAATTGTCTATTCTATTGTATAAAGCTTTGCCTCTCCGCCTTCCTTACTCATGAGCTTTGACCATGCGGATTGGCAGCGGAGTGAAACACCTACAATTAAGTCAAAGGAAACCGTCTTTCTGGAGTTGTTAACCCAATGAGAAATTTGCTTGACTTTCTGATTTGTAAACCGAAAGTATTGAATTACTGTGTATCGAGTCTTTTATAAATATCTTTACATGCTTTATAAATATTTTACAGACATAAAAACATTCTTTGCCTTAACAGTGTGAAACTATTTGCCGCGTCGCTGCCAGACGCTGCAATTCTGGTGTGAATAGGCTCTTAGGTTTTGATTCGTGTGCAAACTTGAAATGTCCAGTAGAAAGGGCGCATAAATTACCGTATCATATCTTTTGATTACGTTCACTTAGAGATATGATTTTTAAATGGCTAAAGGGATTACAGAGATCTTGTTATTACGATGCGTTTCTGAGAAGCTGGTCTGTCAAGATAGATGAAGATAATGACAACTAATTGATGCTAAATGAGTATACCTATCTACTATAAAGGTTTCTATTTTTTTGGAGGAACGAAACTACCCTAGAATGTTGATTATTTCAGTACATTAACGATAACAATGTACTGTTTTCTGAAAGGGTACCATTTATTTTTACAGTACTCGTTCCTTGAAAATATTGCTCGGTGCTTTAAGCACAGGAGACGAGAAACAAGTAAGAGCAACAATTTCATTGTATAAAAATGTCCACATATTCTTTATTCTTAATATCTCTGTTCAGAATAAAAACAAGCATTTACAGCGTCGTTAGAAAAACATATTACTGCCAGATATTATATCTTTTGTTTAGTTTAATGAATCCAATATTGTGAGATAAAAGAAATGAGTAGGTTTATTTCAATAAATGTTCTCAATTTATGTAACACTTTGTTCTATTTATTTTCCATAACGATGCCAAATAGTTTTATTATATTTTTTTGCATAATTTATTTGAAACGTAGAATGTAAGATTATTTCAAGAAAAATATCTTAAAGATTTCGTATAACTTTTAAGCACACTCCCCGCATTATGTTTCTGATGGTGAATAAAGTCCCAGGGTTTCACTTGATAGAAAAAAAAATTTTAGGATGGCATGGTTAAGGTGTCTTCAGCGGTATATTTTTCTGCTACGTTTAGTATCTTTATAATTGGTTTACATCTTCTTCAAGCGGGATGCTGCACCTTGTTTAAAAAGCCAACTATGAAATTAATTATAGACGTTTCAGCATCCGGTTATGACTACTATCTGGTCTTTTAAGTATTTAAGCAGAGCAAATTTTAAATATAAATAAATTTTCAACCTCTTCTAATTTTATTCTTTGTATGCTTATTTTATTCTCGTGAGTGACTACTCGCTTCGCTACCGAAGAGACTTTAATTATTCTCGGGCTAATGTACCTACATATAAACTTCTTGTGAAAATTATGTAACTGGTGCCGAAGACCGAATGAAAAGCATATTTTAGGAGAAGATAGAATGTGTATATATTTTATGCAATGTGCAAATTAAATCCAGATCTAAATGATAGGATAGAATTGAGTCTACTTCACAGTTTCTAACTATACAAGGCTGGTTATGGATACTTAGAATTGATGAATTATCTGTTTTAGATAATACACTTTCATGGTCATTCATAGCTGATGATTTGTAAATTGTAGCTTAACGACATTTAGGGCTTAGATTCGATTATTTATAGGATTCATCACTTTATATGGCAATTCCACCCCTCATGATGCTTGATTACGTGTTTCAATTTCAGAATCCGTAGACTGGTGACAATCGTAATTGCTGTATCGAAGCGAGTAGAGTATAGAAGCGACAGCAACAAATTGAAGTATCGATTACTTACCACTGTGAAATAAAGATTGGTTCAATCAGAGAATGGAAAAAGGGTGGTTCAATGATGCACGGATACGTTACAGACGTATTAGGTATCTTTCGTCTTCGTGAGTTAAATCTTAGTACACACGAGGAAGTTAGCAAGTTTTTATTTTTGGTCGATTTCTTCCTTTATTACTTAGAGAAACAAGAAGCTCAAAATCTTACAGTTGTAAGTATATAACTTGTCATAAAAACATGGTTTTATCTATCTTCCGTGTTAAGCCAGATCACTATAAACAAATTAGAATCTAATAATCACTGCAAATTCCTAAAAGGCTTCGAATCCCGTTTAAAACCTGAACCGAATGGATTTTTTTCTACTAAAATTTCCTTTAGGTGTAACCATATAGAAATACTTAAAAATAAATAAAAAAAACATGGATGTTTCTGAACACTGATTTGATGTTTCCACGAACAAAATCAGAATCTGGTTTACATAAACCCAATGTCGTTTTTTTTAGTATCTGTTTAGACCTAACAAATAATTGGTATTTTCCGCGTTATTATTTGAAGACCGAAATGCCTAAATAGTTTTTGAATCTCATGTCTGCCCTACGCCTTACGTCCATTGAGTGAATGTGTATGAAAACGGCCCTGTCCGCTGCTGTGGGCTCACGATAAGAACGATCGAGTCAAGGATTGTCCCATCTGAGCTAGAATAATTGATTTCCTTGTTGCGATGCCGGATATTAATTGAAATAGTCATGTCCGAAACAATAGCATTCGCCAGATTGATGTCGAAAGGTTTAGTTTGGTTGGGGACCTAGGAAAGGTCAGCCGCTTAAGGATTTCGTCAGTTGTGATTTAAATCATTAATCCTTACTCTCAGTACTGGAAAACAAAAAACAGTTAAGTGTCGCCGCACACGGGCCACCGACCACTACCACAAAACGCCGCCACCGGCATATTTCTTGTAGTTTTCATACATTTTATATGGACTCGCCACACGCTACAAATCGTTGTTGCTCGCTTCTTGTGGCCCGCACCGGCCACTTAATGCACCGATACAAAACGCCGCCACACGTCACTCGCGCAATTCTCCACCCCTCTCTCCGTTACCTTAGTCGGCCGCTGTCGCGCTTCAGCCACTTTAGTAGCCGCTTCTAGCTTCTCCTGGCGGCGTTTGTGGCTGTGGCGTGTGGCCCGTGTGCGGCGACACTAAGAGAGGGCATAGCGGACCTCTACCGTACAGAAGACTCACAGTTAAAACACTACCCTTTGGTGGTGTTGTATTTCTGTCGGTGAGTAAGGTTTCTAGGTCTCCGCGAGGTAGGCGATTGGGTTAAGGTAGGCAACGGCGCTCGGAGGAGCTCGATGGCGCAAGTGGTTAGCGCGTTCGGCTGCGATCGTTGAACTTAAGCAACTTTCTCAGTGGTCGGTCATTGGATGGGTGACCAAAAATTACTATCTTGAGCTCCTTCGTGCTTCGGAAGGTACGTTAAGCCGTTGGTCCCGGCTGCATCTGCAGTCGTTAGCACCCACCAATCCGCACTGGGCCCGCGTCGTGGATCATGGCCCAATCTCCCTATTCCATCCATAGGGAAGCCCTGTGCCCCAGCAGTGGGGACATTAATAGGCTGATGATGAGGCAACGGCGCGAATGATATTTTTTTGTATCGCAACAGTCTATAGGCTATGGTGGTCATTACCATCAGGTGGGCCATATGCTTGTAATGTCACCCCTTTAACATAAAAATAAGCAGTTGCCGGGCTGAAAATTTTATTTAACGTTCCAAATATTTTTTAACCATGCAGTTGCGGTTTGCGCCAGTTTGAATGACGAAAGGTTGCGCTCTGCATTAATTTCTGAAACTGCTATTGATTGTTAACAGGCTTTTTACCATATTTTGTGACATGAATTTTAAAATTATCCATCTTATTTGCATTGCCTTCGAAAAGCTATTGAACCTGGGATTACGTAAGTGCTGATATAACGTTAGCCCTTAAGCTTTTGTTTATAAAATCCAATAATCTTATTCTGTCCACAAAATTTAAGCTCTAGAGGTCTGGAGCTTAAGTTTTGTTTTTGATAGGAATTTGTTTTGTTTTGGCAGGATTTACTTTATCTAGATAAAGTAAATCCTAGCAAAAACAATTTCATGTAAAATGTTGCCAAGACTAGATCATATGACACGCAATGTCAAAAAGTTACGAGATTTCATGTAGAGCGAGCTTCTAAACCTACACGCTCTAACTTAAAGATAGAAAAGAATACATAAATGTTCTTATGGATATAATACATATGTATGTATTGTAACCGTTACTCTAGTATCCCATAACAAAAGCCTTATAGTGCTTTAGGGCTCGGCTATTTGCTTACGTTCGGCTATTATTTATTTCGGTTAATTGGTGTGACTTTTAGAAATATTTATTTATTTAAATATAATGGGGATTATGAGGCTTAGGCTTAGACCCTGATGGCTATCAGTAACGACAGATATAGGCAGGCTTTAAGCCGTCGATACCGATAGCTATCAGGGTGAACACCGACGCGGATATGCTGTGCAAGACGATCAACTGGCAACTTTTAAAAATAAATAAATAAATTTGCAATAGAAGTGCCCGAACGGCCAGTCCGAGTACAGCATGTAGGTAAAGTTGAACGTCACGTTGAGGGTAGTATGAGACTCACCTATCGATACTGATAGCCATCAGGGTGAACACGGACGCGGATATGCTGAGCACGGCGATGAACTGGTATAACTTGCAGTAGAAGTGCCCGAATAGCCAATCCGAGTAAGCATGTAGGTGAAGTTGAACGTTGTGTTGAGGGTGGTATGAGACTCGCCTGTCGATACTGATAGCCATCAGGGTGAACACGGACGCAGATATGCTGAGTACGGCGATGAACTGGCAGAACTTGCAGTAGAAGTGCCCGAACGGCCAGTCCGAGTACAGCATGTAGGTAAAGTTGAACGTCACGTTGAGGGTGGACACCATCGCGTCCGCCACTGACAGGTTCACTGCGGGAGAGAGGTTTAATGAAAATGAAAAATATTTATTTCTGTTCAAGTTGGTCTTGGCGGTCAACAGTTGTTGAGATCCTCTTTTAAGTGTAACAAACACACGTGTGACAGATAATCTCCAGTTTTACATTTACAAAAACTAGAAGGAACATCTTTTTCTAGTGGTTAGCAGTAAAAATAATTCTAAAGGAATAAAAAAAAATCGTTACAGATCTCATACGCTAAAGGGCGGAAAATATGAATTAATACAATAGACCAGAACTCTGCTTCATTTCAAAATCTTATAAACTTAGAAGTCAAATTCTTCTTAATTATATATTGAATCTTCTAATTTTGCAAGGTTTATTGATTCAACTAGTATGTAATGCTATTTCGTATGGAATAAATAAATAATACAATAGGTTTTGACATGTGAATGTTCATAGTTAAGTATAATAGTATTCAAAATTCAGATATAAAACAACTCTTTTTAACGGACCAAACTTTTTTTACCCTCAACCCTTGGTTAAGGGTTTCTTAATTTTAGCTGTAGGAAGAACTGACGGAGGAAACTCTTCAACGTTAAGATAGAGCAGTTACTTAAAAAATAAAAATGCTTTCTGCCGTTTGTTTGCCAAGGGCATTATCGAGAAGTTGGTTGCGATAGTTACAAACTAACGTAAGAAGATTTGACGCCACCAAGTCAGCTTAGTAACTATCCCAAAGTTTCTCATAGTAAAAACAAAACTGTTTGTTAAAAGGGTCAATCTGTTGGTTTGGTCCAGTTAACTTCGTTGGGTTTGTGTCGGTACCTACTTGGAGTTAAGGTTCAACCGGCGGTAGGAGTCACGTCTGCTATCGACAGGTTGGGAGGGAAAAGTTTGCCTTGTTTTTATAACAGATGGGATCGAGGGCTAACTAAACTGAGAATCTAATTGATTTTTTGACAGATGTCATTCAAAATAATTGAATTCTAGTCTCTGATTAGTAAAATATAAAAAAATATGTTATTAACATAATATTAAATCAATATGATTTACATATTTTTTGATATTATAAGAGCAGTATAAGAAACCTACCTACCCTATAATCTAGGATTGTGTGTGTGTCATAATATTTTTTAAACTTTACTCCTGTAATTCCGTGTTTTGAGATGAAAACCCCCATCCATCTCCTTAGTAATTAACGAGGAATAAGCTTAGATTTCATACACCGTGTTTTGTTCATATCACTCGAATGCCATTTTCAAAATTCCAAATTCAATGAACAGAGACAAAACATAGATTACCTATCTAACCCTAACTTATTCTTCGTTTATTGATAAGGGAGATTATTCCACGCGGACCAGGCAGCAGACCGGACTAGCACCCGCACCCTTCGCAATCCGGGCGAATGCACTGACCAATTATGCTACCGCGGCCCTCACGGACCGCGTTGAAATTCCTCTAGCCATTCTTAATCTGCAAGGCAGCGGCATCTCTTCGCATTGTAGGTAACCCACAATGTCAAATGAATACTTTTACAAGTATTAAACATTTGAAAGAAGAAATAGCAATTATGGTTATAATTTTTATTTTTTTAAAGCATGTTACTGCTTGATGTTTAAATCTAAAGAAAATATAACTAGAAAAAAATCCACGCGGACCAGGCAGCAGACGGGACTCGAACCCGCAACCTTCGCAATCCGGACGAATGCACTGACCAATGGCGGCACTGACCACTGACGGCCCTCACGGACCGCGTCGATATTCCTCTAGCCATTTTTAAGCTGCAAGGCAGCGCCATCTCTTCGCATTGTAGGTAACCTGCTGCCTGGTTCGCGTGGAATTTTTTTCTAGTTATATTTTCTTTAGATTTAAACATCAAGCAGTTACATGTTTTAAAAAAAAATAAAAATTATAAGGGAGATTATGTTCAAAGATTTTGCAAGCATTTACTACTTTGTACTCTGTCCTTGCCAAAATGGCACCGCTGAATCGCAATAAACTAGGAATATTATGAGGCATCTAGCCGAATTTAGACATTACGTGACTAAAATCCTTGTCTATTCGATTTCCGCAAGCTCCATTGGTCGCCTGATAACAATAAGACCTAATTGTGCCATTTCCATGAAAAATGAGCTTCCACCGTTTTGTAGAATAGGAATCGGAATTATGAAAATAAATGTCAAGCATTCCTGGTTTGAATCTGCGTGTTTGGCGTCTTTTATACTCTTCACGAATTTTTGGTAGGCTTAAAAATAATTTAGAGGTCTTGTTTGAGCTGTATCAAATAATAATAGGTTTTAGAAATTAACGATAAGTGTGTCTTTGTGTAGTGTGATATCATTATTTGATTAGTAAATAAGTAGAATAATAATTACAATTTATGTAGACAATTAAAATTACTGTTGTGTTTTAATTGGTTTATAATTTTGTTATATCTAAATTTTCTTTCTTAATTATAAGTAGTATTTCATGTGTGTGGGAGATTTTGAATACTTATCAAACAAAACAAAAACTTCGTTATATTTGAGAGACAAAACCATTCTAATAAATCGTAAACAGAAAGTACAGTAAATGAAAGTTCCAAACGGAGCTTTAGATGGTGACAGATCGATGTTTGTTCAGAACTTTAGCTGAAGCTTAGCCGTTTGTTTTACAACTAAGATACCATAGGAGTATAGCAAACGGGTGAACGTACTTTTTCATTAAAAGGTTTCGAGGTGTCACCTACTCAGAGGTCCCGGTATCGCATCCCGGTGGGGCAAATGTTTGTATGATGAATACGAGCCTTTTCATCATACAAACATTTGCCAGGCAGATTGCTAAATGTACAGTAGAATTATTCTGATGGCTCAATTACACTTGGTTTTTAGCTCGTCGGGTGCATGAAAAACATTACTTGAATTTGGGCACCCGAAGCAATATTTACACTGGAATACGGACTGGAAGACGGTGTCCGGTAACCAATACGAAAACTACCCGTAAACGGGCGTACTCGACTCCGTTCATTTACACTTAGTCGTTTACCCGAACTCCATTGGCAATCGTATTCGGCTTAAGGGCCAAGTGTCATTGTGCCACGACATCACACAAATCTTTAAGGTGTATCTGCTGTAACTAAAAACGGTGTAAACTTTTTTATGGATATTGAAATAAAAATGAATAATAAAAAAAAAATTAATTACTTACATGTTTGATTTTGAAAGTGGTGTTTACGTGATTTCATCATCATCATCATCAGCCTCTTTATGTCCCCACTGCTGGGGCACAGGCCTTCCCTATGGATGGAATAGGGAGATTGGGCCATGACCCACCACGCGGGCCCAGTGCGGATTGGCGGATGCTAACGATTGCAGATGCAACCGGGACCAACGGCTTAACGTGCCTTCCGTAGCAAGGAGGAACTCGAGATAGAAATTTTTAGTCACCCATCCAATGACCGATCACTGCGAAAGTTGCTCAACTACAACGATCGCAGCCGAACGCGCTAACCACCTGCGCCATCGAGCTCCTCACAGTTTACGGGATTTGCTAATCATGAAATCCTTATTGGACTTAATAATATAACAAAATAGTAAGGCCATAAAATAAGGTAAAAAAAACTAATAATATAAACAATTCAAAAAAGGAAGAAGAATAAATTTACTTAAAAGGTGATGATGGAAATCAAATCAGGATCCTACGCTGAAGCTGTCATAGTATGAAAGTATAAGTTTGGTATTCTAGCTATACTCGTATATATAGGTCAGCAGCTGAAATCAGTGTCTTGTTTCTCAATGAAACATCCCACACTGAGTTGTGTTATCATTTCAGACTGTTGCACACTCCTCCTACGATTTTCATGTTAGCTTCGTAATTGTATTTTGTCTTAACTTTGAATTATTTTGTAATTTAAAATTGTGTTCTAGTAGTTCTTGAATAAAAATATTATTTATATAACTAACCGTTAACGGGAAGTTTGTTAGGTCCTATAATCCCTTTAGAAATTTTTAATGATTTTATCTGACGCGGACATACTGTCCAATGTAATCTCTAAAACGGTTTATACACCAACTCTGTCCCTTTCACGAGTTCCATGAAAAGCAAGCAATATTTTTGAAACAATAAGATAACAAAATTGGTAAATATTTGATATAATACGTCCCGCATGATAAAAGAGGAAAGTTCGCTTTGTTCCATCAAAACGGATATCTGTAATAAAGGAAGAGTAAATAAATCATAACAATCAGACGCAATCATCGCAAAATCACGAGTCAAAATTTTATGGACCGGCCCATTATGGACGCTTGTTTAAGTTCCGCGAAGAAGTGAAGTTGCTCCAGTTATTTTCAATTGGACGACCAGAAGATTGTTTGAATAATAATAATTTTAATTTGTCGTATCAAAGGAGTCGGATTTATTGGAGTTTGAAATGTACATATTTTCTTTTGCGAGTGGCTGACGATACGAAGTAAAACTGAGCTTGCTCAGCTCCAAATTATCCAATTTACAATGTCTATAATGATGATGATACAAATTTATCTATTCCTCGAACACTTAAATTAGTCTGATATGTATTCTGATTACCATTACATTGCTTTACGCAGTTTTCCCTTGTCAAAGTATATTACCAATTGGGCATATGGTTAAAGAACGTCTGGACTTCACTTTCACTTAACATCAGGTGTGGTGGAGTCATTTGTCGGACCTATCTATAAAAAAAAAGAACTAAGATTTGCGTGTATTATGTCATTGTTTAAGTGTTAGGCTAAGAACTCCAGGAGCGATCTTTTGCCGCAACCACGGGCGGTAGCAGAACTGTTTTATTTCAAAACTCAAGAGACTTCAGTTTTCTACAGTCCCGCTGGGCGAAGCGCGCTGCGTCTGCGGGTGATCGCTTTTTTTTTATGTACTTATGGAACAGAACTTGTCTGTACATTTCTCCTTCGAAAATTTCCAGAATAATTTGAATGCTAAGAAATCACTATAGCCACTCACCCCCTTGATATAGTTTTTTCAACCTTACTGGTTACCTCAAGGACTGCTGGCTGATCCTACTGCACATGGTTGAAAGGTTGAAACTTGTTCATATACTAGTCTGGCCATAAATACTGTTACATAAAAACTTTTTTTTTTTTTAACTTATTAATTATTGTATATTTGGAACACGTTTTAAAACTTCTTTCGATTGTGCACCTTTTCACATATTTTTTCGTGTTCACTATAAAATTACAATATGGAATGGGGTGTTAAAGTAAATAGGATTGCAGTGATCGCCTTGCACTAAGTGGGTATGGAGCCGTCTGTCATATTCCAGACACTTCAAAAGCTTGGTATCAGCCGTTTGTTCCGAACTATCAACAGATACAACAACACTTCGTCTGTCGAAGAGCAGAAAAGATCGGAGCGGACTTTATAAGAGCTGATGACGGGCCCTCAACTAGTCCAGAGCTCAACCCTTTAGACTTCAAATTTTAGTCAGTTTAAGAGGACATGTCCTGCTCTAAACGACACGGCGACATTGAGTCTATTAAAAAATCTTTGGAGCAAGCAGTGGCGCAATTTCCCTTGGAAACAGTGCGTGAATCCATAGATTCGTGGCCGAACAGATTAAAGGCCTGTATAAAAGCCAAAGGTGGTCATTTCGAATAGTATTTTTTTTTATATTTAGCTGAGACTTTAATAAATATGTACGTATAAATTTTAATAATATTACATTACTTCATAAAAAAATGCATCTTTATTTGTAACATAACTTATGGCTGGACTAGGTAGTTAGTGGTTGCAATCATTTTATATTGTAGCAGTGTAAATGTTTGGTGTTTCTACCGAGCTTGCATTTTGTAGCAAAAGGACTCGTTTACTGTGCAATCCAAGGTAGCAGATCACAAAACTCAACGCTATGCAAGGCGTGTTATTTTGTAAGTGTAGCCAATAAGAGCTGATGCCTATCTAGGCAGGTGAATTGGCCCTAAAGAAAAATCGCTGTGTTCTATCTTGTTTAAATTTATTGTCCTTGTGACATCCTACTAATATTAAAAATGTGAAAGTTTTTATGTTTGTGTGCTTGTATGTTTAATAGTCAATATCGCAAAAACAATCGCAACGGATTTGGTACGCATATAGTTTATGACCAGGATCGAGACAAAGACAATTTTTTATCCCGAAAAAATGAAAAAAAATGAGTCTAAAAAAAACAAAGTTAATATTATGGACGAAATCGTGAGCTGCTGCTAATATAAAATAAAATAGGCTCTGCACAGTTTTGGGTCGAATTATGAGTGGCGTGTAAGTTATGAAATTTATATTTACTTGGAGGGATCGCGCGAGAACGTATTCCACGTCCTTATGCGGCAGCCGGTTTTATTTTCAGGGCAAGCCGGTCACGTTTTACGATAAAGCTATAATTTTTTTAATAGAAATTTAATATTCTACGATGGCCGAGTCACATCTTGGAGACTGTTATTGACGAACCATTTTTTCCAACAATAGCGATCCTAGTCCTGTCTTCTAGTCTGAAGGTCTTGCTTAGTTTTAATATAAGTAGGCACTGCTTTTCTTTGTCCGATTAGTAGGTATAAGAATTTCTAACATAGTAGTAATAGGGGTGATGACGGGATGATGATGATCGTTTACTGTACAAACGAATTTCTATTTAGTCCGTCAGATGATCAAGAAATAATGGACACCTATTATTCCTTTGGGCAATTAACCAAAAAATGCCAAAGTTATAGCGCGTCAAAGTATGGGAGTAGGGGCTCGTGATGTCACTTTTTAGTGAATTTTTACTTAAAAGTGTACCAAAACGTTAAGTCATGCGACTTTTTAAATCAATATGTCTCTGCAATGTTTATATTATGTGAAAAAAGAAAAAAAAAGTCATCATTCCTATTGTCAGTTGAAGTATACTTGTAACTTGAGTATTACGGTGTATTTAATATCTAAAGCGCATGTCTTGCTCAATTTGGGAATTTTAATTAGTGGTGAGTTGTTTCTAATTTATTGTAGGACAAATGAAATAAAATAATTTCTCTTTCTGAGGTCCATGTTATGAGCACCAATAAATTCTTCGAAACTGAAATCGAGTACTACACTATACAATTAATACTAAGTATTTTTGGTTTTTCCTTTTACAATTCATTGGAAATGTAATATTATTTGATACTATTCGAAATATTACGAACGGATCAATCGGACAATCAGTAATAATTTCATATCCGTTACCATTTTCCAAAACCAGTAAAATACTGTTGATTTTATTTTTATCTAGACCGAAATTTCATTTACCACAACCCTGCATTTTACTTTCATTCCTGGTTCAGCGTGGGTGGAAAAAATTTTCATGTTTGTTCCCCCTAACCCAAATAAATCGAATCAAATATCGCCGGACGAGTTTTACGAAATCAAGTCACGTAACATCTACAAGGTGATATCAGTTCTCTACATTGAAAAGTTAAAACTTTACCTGTTTGTTTACACACACGCGTGTTGTTTATTTAACGGCCTAAATAAATAAGTTTTATTTTCTTTGACACAAAACTTTTGTAGGTGTTGTTACAATTCCTAAAGTGCTGTTAAGGGTTCCTGCCCAAAAGGAGATAAAAATCATTTTACGCACATTAATTGTGAGTCCATAGGACAAACTCTGCTATTTTACAATAATTTTATTTTTAAGTATTCATTTAGCCTATAATATTTTTACTGTTGGAACGCGGGCCCAATATTCAGTTCTACGTAGACGTACGTAGAGGCCAAACTACCCCGCGGAATCAGTGCTGCTTCGTCAATGCCAAAGACTGCAATGCTGTCGGGTCAGGACCAACAGCTTAATTGCGCTAGCGCAGCATTTGCTCTCATCGCTCGACACGTCGCTCTAAGCCATCGTTAATTGCGGCAAAGAAGAGCTAGTGACAGGAACATTTTTATTCATCATCTGGATGACTGGTCAAAACATAAATTGCATAAGTTATACAATCGCAGACTATTATACTGTGGGTACTTATTTCATCAGAAAATTTTGTCAACTACGTACGACAAGTTGTTATTTTCCGACCGAGCTAGCTAGTCCGAAATACTTTCATATTCGTTACCATTATCTAAAAACGGTAAGGATACGATACTTAAACACTGTACCCCAGTATTAAAGTATCTTATGCATTTTATTTGTCAAATCATAAAGTAAACAAAATGATATATACAGGCTGTTACAAAAATACAAATAAAGCTTAAAGGGCGTTGAAGTACAACATATAAGAAGTCTTCTCTAATTTTCTTAAAATATTTGCATGAAATTTAACTTTTTATAAAAAGTTATTTTTAAGCATTAATAAAAATATCGATCATTTTAAGACAAAATGCTTTATAAAAAGTTAAAACTTTATGCAAATATTTTAAGAAAATTAGTGAAGACTCCTTATATGATGTACTTAAACGCCCTTCAAGCTTTATTTGTATTTTTGTAACAGCCTGTCTGTATTCGGTATATCTGTTTTGTCATTTTAATAAAAAGGTCGTCCTACCTAAGAAGTAGTTAGTGACACTCCTCATCCGCTTATTGGCGAGCACTATCCATATGACCACGAGATTGCCCACCGTGGCCACCACAACCATTCCGGTGAACAGCACCGTCCACAGCACTTGACGCCACCACGGCAGAATGAAGGACTGGTACACCTGAAATAAAAAATGAGACATCTCATTTCCGTTACTTTTTATCAGTACCCCTAGCACGAACCATTATCGAATTCAAATAGTTTGCAAACCGAAATGTCAATATCAAATTTTGTATGGAAACTTGAACAGCAGCGGCACAAAGTACCTAAAAATCAGTACACATTTTGACAATGACATTTCGGACTCGCAAACGTTACGAAATCGATTTTGGTTCGTGCTAAGGGTACTGTACACCAAGCACTAAGTAATCGTATCACAGCGTCAAATCTCCGTTCTGACACGCTAATGAAGAGTACAACAACTCGATATTACCGCTTCCGAGAAAAACTCGCTCAAATGAAGGTATAGTCCAAAACTGATGCCACCACAAGTATGATTATTGTATTTTTGATTAGTAAAATCTATGAAGTCTTAGTTGTTGCATTCTTGCGTACTAAAAAATCAGGTTCCTGAAAGAGTCATGAAAAGTTACTTAGTTAGAAAGAGTTAATATTTACCAAAATCAAGTGATTGTACTTTTCGTTAGCGCGGCAGCATTGTTTTCGACATGTAAACGAGTTGTTGTAAACCGTTCCTATTTGTTACCGATACCAAGGGCACTTCTTTTGCAAAGTTCTTAATTCAAATTTAAAACCTATTTCTATTCGCCGTAAAACAATTGATAAAGATGGAATGATGCACTAAACACGATTAAGGTAAATTAAGAACTTTGGTTTAAGTGCGCCTCTGCTCGATTTTTCACTTGAACAAAATCGACAACCAATCAATGTTTTTTACTTAATCTGTGTTGACAGCGCCTCTTAGCTGCTAAAAGCCGTTTAGCAAATCTCTAGACGATAAAGAAAGTTGTTCAGAATTTAAAATTAAAATTTTATCACAAGACGTCGTGCGATGTCTCCGTGGACTTTTAAAAAACAAATGGATTTTCATTTTGTAAAAGAAAGCAAACTAACCATAATCGGCTTTTCATCCGAGTTCGAATTGGATTATTAGACATTTCACTATTAGCAGTTCTCGTAACATTTACCATTTTGCGTAGGTATGAAAAAACCCGAAAAAGTGCGGTCGTGCCCGAAGGGATTCGTACCATTATCTATACAACATAAGACACTATAGTTAATTTACTATATTTAATATTATAATGTGAAGCAAAAAACGGCAAAAATGGAGCCCTCAAATATTTATTTTATTTAAATTATTTATTTTAAGAGTGAATATACAACTAAATAATCTGTAAATATTTCAACCGTCTACCTGTTAACTTCATTAATGTAGAGAAGAAAACGGCAAAAAATCTCATTTATTTAGTGTTTGTTGTTATAGCAGCAACATAAATACATCATCTGTGAGTTTCAACTGTCTAGCTATCACGGTTCATGATATACACCCTGGAGAGAGCAAGACATACGGACAGTGGAATCTTAGTAATAGGATCCCGTTTTTACCCTTTGGGTACGGTATCCTACATTGAATGATGTCTAATAAAAGTATCTTTGAATAGGTAATCTACATATTTTGACTTTTCCGCCCTTTTCTAGGGGTTTGGCTTCGAAGACCTTTTGTGTGAAAATGTGATATACGACGCTTTCAAATCAATCGCAAAAGCTTTCAAGAAATAAATACATCATTGTGAAATTATTTTATTGTTGAATTTTGACTACGTTTTAGTAAATCTATTACGTTTTAGTAGTTCTGTGCGCTCCACTACGGTGTTTTATCATTTATGGGACTTTGATTAAAATAAACATATTGTACAGGTTTCCGAGCTTGCCAGACCTTACTTATTTTCTAATGGACAAAATATGAATAATCGAGAAGTTCATGAGTGTACTGTTACTCACGGCGGACCTTTAAATACGATTAGCGGGTTTTTGACTATTACAATTGGTCTGGCAGCAAATTACATTAAAGAACCTCTGAATAATATAGATAAAAATCAAGTCTCAGACTGAAAGTAAAGCGAGTAATTTTTTTTGCGCACCTGAGCCACCTGATACCTGAGAATTGCCCCCCGGCATAAGGTCAATGTACACACATTATTACTAAATCTTAATTTTTAATTTTCAGATATTTTAAGCCGGTTATATTCCATTTAAACTACTGAATTTTTAAATTATTTGGTGTAATACCGGAATACGTGCGCTCTTCCAATAGATTTGAGCAAGTGAAACCGTGGAACATTGCTAGTTTATTATATATTAAAACCTTGCCTGATAAATACGTATTTATACACCGAAAACCTCATCCAAATCGGAACAGCAGTGTTTGAGATTATCGCGGAAAAACATACATACTCGTACATCCTTTTTTGAAGTCTATTAAGTCCTTTGACTCGCCAGACGTACGCAGATCACACCGGGACCAGATTATTCTTTTATTTTATAAAATATTAATTAATATTGTCGTTTCGCCTTATATTTAGAAAAAAAAATATCTTAGATGTCCAAAGTTTAGTTCAGGAAACAAATATCTATTCGCACTGGCATTGTGCTGAAATCGTGTGTCTCCTTTCAGCATAAAATAGTGATACCGAATATAGCGTACCTATTCCGCAATTCGAAAGCACGAAGCAATTTCCTCCGTGTGAGAGACGAAGCAGTTAACGTCCGGTTAACCGAATTTTTTCACAAACCGCAACGAGGAAATATCTTTGTGCAGCTGGTAATATAACCGTGTTTTTTTTAATGGGTTATTTTAGAGATATGAAGTAGGTACTAACACTATGTTCCTCTCAGAGTACGGTAGAACACATTTTTTTTATTTGGAGCAACTCTGTGTTTCGGAAGGTTCGTAAAGCCGTTGGTCCCAGCTACATCTGCAGTCGTTAGCACCAATCTCTTCATGGTAAGTTGCGAAAATACTCAGCAGCGGCGATATAAATAGACTGGCGATGATGAATATGCCAGCCGCATCGTGTATCAATAAGTTAAGTTAGCTCGTTTACCAGTGTCGAGTTGAGCGATGAGTTGAGGTACCGTTCGTTGGATTCATCGTAGAATGTGACCACGAAGTTGTTGTGTTCGTCGGCGTAGACGGTCGACAGGTTCGACGCCTTCGTTGGGTCGGGCTCGTCCAGCATCGTGACATCAGCGGCACCTGGAAGCAAAAGAGAACATTAATAAAATGCCTGTGGTTTCTCAATCATGTGCCCTTGCATGTGCCTTCCGTATCACGTTAGACTTTAATTTTTAAGAACTCATGGCAGACTCACACATCTCGCACACTAGATGGCCACGACCAAGTGGGTGGCTTTCGTATGATTTTTTTAGTTAATCCAGTCGTTGTAGAGACTGGCCATGGTCGTGGCCGGCTAGTGCGTCAGAGAAGTAAATTAAAAAATATTTTCAGTTTGACTTAAGTTGTACTGCATTACTTTCATGGCGCTAACAATAGAAGGAGTTAGCACGTGACTTTATGAAGCATTAAATTTATGCGTGACGTCTCTGCGTACGGCTGTTCGTTCGTGTCTTATTAATTCTGAAAGTCAGTCGTCTGTCTTTTAAAAGAGTGCGATGATACCGCTTTGTAGTAAGTGGCAGGAAACCAATAAGGGAGCTTTAAGAGCCCAGACAAAGGACATTGGGAATTTTGACTACGGAACAATACCCCCACAGCGGACAGAGATGAATTCTATCTTACTACACTTCACGGGAATATTGAGATTTAATAAGATTTACGAACATACAGTAACTTTATGTTGAAAACAGAGGAACCAAGCAAAGTCGAGTTTTAATATATTTTTTTGTATCCTCCTAAGTATGAAATCGGGCGCGTGTGAAATCCTCGTGGATACCCTACAGCCAGCTGCAGGGTTATGACACTTACTCCCTACCTTATTAATACACAAGGAATAAGCTTAGACTAGTTACGCCGTGTTTTGTTCATGTCACTCAAATGCCATTTGTCCTTCAATGAACAGAGACAAAACATGGAGTAACTAATCCAAGCTTAGACTACGTTTATTAATAAGGGGGTAACTGTCTAAAACACACCCGTGGTTCTACATTCGGCCATAAGGACCTTACAGGCTTCGCTGATATCACAGTAAAAGAAATAAAAATTGTTACTATATCCATTGAAATAGGTTTCGTTAGTGTCTGCTACTTTTCGATAAGCTGAGCAAAATGTTTTTCTTTGGTCTGGTTTTGGTTTTCAACTTAAAATTCATCTAACTATACAATTAGGTAGGTTTTTCATCATCACTACATAGTATAAAGCAAAGTCGCTTCCCTCTGTCTGTCCCTATGTCCCCATGTATGCTTAGATCTTTAAAACTACGCAACGGATTTTGATGCGGTTTTTTTATAGATTCAAGAGGAAGGTTTTTATGTATAATACATGCATAATATAGTAGAGAAACACTGATAACTTTAGAGGTTTTTAATGTAAGGTCGTAAAAAATCACTTTTTTTGCGTTTACATTGCGCATTTAATATAGACCAATTTGGCCCTTTAACGCATGTAATTTAAATGAATATTTTCGAAAGGGTTACATATATTGATTGAAATGTCGCATGACGTCATGCGTTGGTGCAATTTTTACTTAGAAGTGACGTCCCTTTCCAAACCTTGATGTGCCTTATCTTTGTCCTTTCTTGGTTGATTGAAAAGAAAAAATATGTGGCCATTATTTATTTATAATCAAACTGGACGGACTGAATAAAATTTCGTTTAATATACCCCGTCATCATCACTATTGGATTTTTCTAAAAATACACAAGACAATCTATTATTTATTATGCCATTATAAAGTGAAACGTGCTATATCATGTTTTTATTTTTGGAATATCGGTTTTGGTTTAATCCGAAGGATAAGGACGTGACACTCAATTTGACACGACTTCATCCATCACCCGCTGAACTTATATGAACAAGATGGATTGAGTTTCATATGTTATGACCTGTTATACCTACTATCGCTCTAGATTTGATAAACGTCTCTTTTGTTTTATGAGCCAAGCCTTTGCAGTTGTTATGAGTGAGATAAGATGAAAGAACAGCAAGTCATCAAAGGATTGTCGTTGGGTAAACAAAGCTTTATTGGTGCTTAGCGAATATTCAATACGCTTGTTGTACTTTGCGAGAGTCTAATACAAATTTATTGCTAAATAAACATTGTTAACTTAAACTAAACATTATTGTGTACTTCTTACTAACTTTTAGTTGAATATAACGTGATCTCGTTGCTTACAAAATTAAACAACATTCAATATTGAGATAGTTTGGAATCTTATTTTTTTATATTAAGCGAATGAAATTAAATAATAATGTTATTTTACTTTTCGAATGTTACTGCAGTTTTCTATGTGATTCGTCTGGGGCTTACCATAGTCATGAGTTTGTAAACACCAATCCGCACAAATGTCATACAACGTTTTTCAACACATTTGCGAGAAAACAGACGTCGCCGCACCTACAAAAGTAGCTATGTGATTTTTGACGATTTTGTGGTTATTAATGAGTTCGTTCTGAAGGATTTTTTGATACGCATAGACTGTCATATTAGTCATGTTATAGCTTCAATATTGACGTAGTATACCCAATAGGAAAATATCGCTATGTGCCTGCAGGCAGATATCGGGCGCAATCGACGCATTTATGCAGAAATAAACTAATACATCTTAGTTATTCTGAACACAAAGCGAGTTTCAAGGAGCTATTTCAGTATGAACGCCACATAGCTAGATTTTTATAATAACGTCAATATTGAAGCTATAACATGACTAATATGACAGTCTATGCGTATCAAAAAATCCTTCAGAACGAACTCATTAATAACCACAAAATCGTCAAAAATCACATAGCTACTTTTGTAGGTGCGGCGACGTCTGTTTTCTCGCAAATGTGTTGAAAAACGTTGTATGACATTTGTGCGGATTGGTGTTTACAAACTCATGACTATGGTAAGCCCCAGACGAATCACATAGAAAACTGCAGTAACATTCGAAAAGTAAAATAACATTATTATTTAATTTCATTCGCTTAATATAAAAAAATAAGATTCCAAACTATCTCAATATTGAATGTTGTTTAATTTTGGAAGCAACGAGATCACGTTATATTCAACTAAAAGTTAGTAAGAAGTACACAATAATGTTTAGTTTAAGTTAACAATGTTTATTTAGCAATTTCCGCCTAATAGATCAAACGATGCGACATCATACCATCGAACCAATCAGCACTCACACCAGAGATCAACGGTGCAATCAGAACAAAGCTTTGGTCAAGTTATGAGCATTTGCTCACACAGTACTGTGACGCGCCTGCCCCACCCACAAGTCCCTTCCAATCCCTTTCTGTGTACTATGTTTTTTCTTTATTGCGTTTGACAAGATAGATTGATGCTATTTATAGTTTAAATACCGGCTTTAAAAATTAATAACTAGAGCCAATTAAGGCTGTCGTCTAATGAAGTCTGTGGGGCAGATAAGCAAGCCCCCTAGGGATTGCGGCCGTCTTAACAGTCTAAGTATTTCGATAGCCATCATTGTTAGGGCAACCAATCCACATTGAGCTGTTTTGAACTTTGTTTATCCTCTGTTTAGTAAAGTCTTTTCTCTAAGATTATAATGAGTAAATAATAAATAGGTCGATATTATGTTAGATAAAACTTTATTTGCACCAAAAGGCACACACTTACCAAATGTTACAAAATACTTTAACCCGCTTATTAATAAACGAGAAATAAGCTAAGACTAGTTACGCCGTGTTTTGTTCGTATCACTTAAATGCCATTTGTCATTCAATGGACAGAGACTAAACACGGAGTTACTAATCCAAGCTTATTCTTCGTTTATTAATGTAAAAGGGAGTTAGGGTTATAACTAGTGTTAAAAAAAATACTGTGATGACCACGGCTTGTGCTGTTCAGGGCACCCCCTGAACCTCCCTTTTAGGGGAGTGATACACTTTCTACTTCTCTCGAAAAAATCTCTACGTAGGCTTAAACATTAACGTAGAATGAAAAATTAATCGCATAAATATTTCCTTTTTTTTATTCATGTTATTTATTACACATGCTTAGAGTTATTGTAAATCACATCATCATCAGCCTATTAATGTTCCCACTGCTGGGGCACAGGCATCCCTATGGATGGATTAGGGAGATTGGCCATAACCCAGCACGCGGGCCCAGGGCGGGTTGGTGGGTGCTAACGACTACAGATGCAGTCGAAACCAACGGCTTAACGTGTCTTCCGAAGCACGGAGGAGCTCGAGATAGTAAATTGTGGTCACCCATCCAATGACCGACCACTGCGAAAGTTACTCAACTTCAACGACCGCAGCCAAACGCGCTAATCACTGGGGCCATCGAGTTCCTAATAATCACATACTTTAAGCGATTTTAACTTCAAAAGCTTTATGAAAGGGTTAGATTTTTTTTGTGTAGTAATAGTTGAAGTTTGAATGTGAAAATAGCACATTTCTTTTGTGAATGACGTGTCATTAACATATTATTTACATTACAAAACTTATTGTTTATATTTTCTGAGATAATAGTATCGAAAGGTATCAAATATTGGAAGTTTCACACATGCCCCTCCAGACCCTTAACAGCAGATATCTTAAAATTTGATAACTCCTGCAAATCTATTAATAGAAATACGTTGTCATAAATTCGAGTGCAGCAGCGATGCGAATTGGCGTAAATTCAGCGTACTATTTACTCAGAGAGTAAGTCGTTGATTTTCTTCGGTATTGATTCAGATAAATGAGCAACAATGCCTACGTTGAGATTTGTGTTACAACCATCTGCGCAACTGAAGAATTAGTGGAATCTTTAAAATATACTCTATTCCGGTCAAGTGGTTTCCTCACAGAAGTTTATCGAAAAAATCAACTCGATACATTTCGTCATTTTGTGCCAAACACTCCAAGAAATATTAGAAAGCGTCACACCGACATTTAATGTAAAAAAAGAAGATAAAAAAAATATAAGAAGATTATGATTTGTGTTTATGTTATGACTGAAGGATTTGTTTCTATGGTTATGAATAAATTATATAAAAAAGCGTTGCTACAGTGCAGTAACTGAAAGACTGCGTTAAGGCAGGTTGTGTCACTTCCTCCATGTAAATAGAATAAAGTACACTTTC